TATAAAGGAGAACGGAGAAGCGGCGTGTAAGGAGCTGATGGAGGCGTTTGCTGCCTGTGTAAAGAGCAGTGCTGAGGGCTCATGAGGAGCTCCACACACAGGACATGTAAATACCCTCACACTCACACTAAAACAAGCTCTCATTTGCATGTGTCTGTAAAATCACGTGTGCTGTGTATGTGACACTGAATAAAAGTGCTTTGAATTTACTTGGTTCAAGCATGTTCATCACTTCAGCATGAATACAATATATTACAGCAACACAAGGTTTTCTTTCAGTTTACTTATTTTCACAACAATCAAGTTGACTGAGTTTTATTCATGTGGAAATGACGTAGGGGAGAGTGCGGCAAATCATTTTAGTTTTGCAAAATAGTTGTAAGTCACAGCCTAGCCTGTCAGATATCACCACAGTAAAATTGAAATATATTTTATTTATATAAAATCTATAGGTTTTTGATAAATTTGAACATAAAACCTTTTAAAAATATTGACTGTTTTGAATTTATATGGGGGTATGGACTTCTCTTCTTGAGGGTCTTAGTTGTGTGTGTTAAAACTAACCCCATCATGAGGAGGCTGTACTTTAGCCTTGCCTGCTTCTAAATGGTGCTTTATTACAGCCACCAAGACGGGATTAAAATAATATAGGAGTGAATTCTGTTACTTAAACACACAACTCATTAACCGAGCCACACTTACGATGAAAAACCTTCAGGGTGAATTTGGAAATATCTGTTTAATTGCTGTGAAAAGTCACAGGTGACTTTGCTATAACTAAAATCACATTCCGCTTAAACCTGTTTAACTACACACTTAAAATTATGGTTCTATATAGAACCATGAACACTCAAAGAACCCTTTGCATGACTAAAGGGTTCCCTGTATCATGAACATTCTTTAGATTGATGGAGAATTTGCTGTAGATGGTTCTGTATAGAACCTTTTTGAAATGGGTTCTATGTAACACCAAAAAGGGTTCTTCTATTGTCATATTTACAATGTCAAGCTTGTTACAATAGAAGAATCCTTTACAACCATCTACAGCACACTGTACATCAATCTGAAGAACGCTTTGATCATCCAGAGGCTTCTTTGAGTGTTTCATGATTTTATTTAGAACCATTTTCTTTACTAAAGAACCCTTGAAGAGCCTTTTTTAGAAATCGTTTTAGAAATATCCATGTTACATTTTATAAATATCCACGTTATCCATGTTTATGTCCTGCTGACATTAAATGAAGTAAATTCAATGTGATCATTTCTTTTGAACATACATGAACCAGCTCATGTAAACCTTTGTGATTATATGATGAACTCAACCTTTAACCATGTTTTAAAGCAGAAAACAGCACTAAACTGTGCATCACATGTAACCAGCTGCTAATTAATGTCTGCTATACACACTGACAACCCCACAGAATCAATTAGCCTGAAGAAACACAGGCTTTGACATCTAGCGCTCACTATTAAAGTAATAGTTTGATCATTTGCACCATTTTTTCCTCACCCCAGCTGTAATCGGTCAGCCAAGACATGTTTGGTGTCTGAAGTCAGCTTCTTCAGTGGAGCTACTAGCTAATGTAGCTAACAAGGAATCTAATGCCAGAGCTGGTTTATGAGAGGTCTGGCCACTTCTTATCTCCCTTGTTATATCAAAAACTGGACTGCAAAATGCCAGAGGGTGCCCATAAGCGAGTACTCAATGAATGGAAATGGAGCTAAACTCCTATAAGTCGAGTTCAAAAGCTCTTAAAAATATAACAGCAGTGTTAAAATGCTCAATTCTATTCAGTGTTCAGGAAATGAATGTATTCTCTTTCATTAAAAATGTTTTTTATCTATAGCATTTATAAACTATGATTTTGCTCCATCTTAACCCATTCATTTTGGACTCACACAGGAGCGCCCTCTAGCGTTAGAGAAACCCAGGAGACATTACAGAGTGGAAATTCTCCTCTCTACAAGTTCTCTGCTAATACCACACTGATTAGCATCATGCTAACTACATACCTAAATCATCACATACTTGCCTCAAACTCTGTCCACTTGTTATGTAGCCTTCAAACAGGCTTGCTCATGTAATTTCAGACACTGTATGACACACTGTTGCTACGTCTTGACTGATCACTTACATTTGTGGTAAATGTATGAATGTGCCGCACTATCAGTACTATGTGAGCTTGGCTGGCCTTTGTGATGACCACATTTCTCATCTCTTTAATTGTGAGTGTTGCTCTGTTTTAGTGGTGACGCTAATCCTCTTTATCTGTGCTCACTCCTGCAGGTCCACTGCACTGAGTCCTCCACCTTCCCAGCATTCCCTTCAGCACTGGACTGAATGACTCTGGTGGGATTTGGCAGCAGAACCCATGTGCCCCGTGCCCCCCCCCGAGAGCTGAAACTGAATCTTCCCGCCCCTCCTGTCCTTTGCAGCCAAATGCGTCAATCTAATCTGTAGACAGTTTGGGAAAGCCCATGGGTTTTATGTAAATTGTCTGTTCTATTCACTTAATGGTGAAATAAAGTTTAAAAGATTGATAAGATGTTTGTTTTTGGCTTTGCTTTATTTTTTCTGGGAATATGTGGGATTTTTCAGTAGAAGGTATAGTTACAGATAATTGAGGCTAAAGTTGGATGATCTTTGACACTAATCATAAGTTTAATGCATTGCTTGCTTTGGCAGTATTGACATCTATCCATCCATCCATCCATCCATCCATCTTATTTATAGCACTGTGTAAAAGCCAGAGACCACCCTTCACTAATTTAATTTCCAGTCAAAATGGCCATTAGGTGCAAATTCACTTTTCACTCAGAAAAAAACAGAAAACATCACACAAGTAAAATACTCAACAACTGAACAGAACATCAGTGTTTTCAGTATTTACTGTGTCCACTCTTTTGCTGTATTACAACTTCCACTCTTTTCAGGAGACTTGCTTCCAATTTTTCAAAATAAATCTGCAGGGATATTTTTCACACCTCCAAAGTTCAAACTTAGAAACTGGTTTAGCATTTTCTGCCTCTCACAATCCAAATAATCCCAAACACATTCAGTGATGAGGTTTAGACTCTGGGTCTATTATTCTGAGCGTGATTTTCTCAAAGATGAAAGCTGTAAGTGCTGTTTATCTGATGGGGGCAGTTTTGGCTTCTACCGGGTCTTCCAGGTGGTTGTTAGGAGACTCATTTTCTCTGCAGCTTTTAATGCTTTTTTGAACTCCAGTTTTGGAAAGTTTTTTTATGCTGCTTTGACTTTCTCCTTCATTTTGCAAGTGAATTATTTTATATACTCTAGCTGAAAAAGATAAACTTCCTCTCACATTCAAGAGCATGTAAGCAAAACAATGTTAAAGAGAAGAGCGTAAGACTGCCAATATAAGCCTGATCAGATACAACTTTTATATAGCGGAAACACAGCCAATGCTTCATTTAATGCTTTGTTGTGGAAAGGAATTGTAAAGTAATTACTAAGAACTGCACTGTAAATATCTAACCTTATAACAATTCAATTTAATTACAACTCTTCAGGACATTATGCATCATTAAATCTCATAATTCACCACAATTTGATTTAATTTATTTTTTAAAGGCACAATTGAGAATTATTATACACAAAACATGACTTGTGGAACTATTTACAAAGTGGATAAACCCATATATTATGGAATATTAGTAGAATTATTGTAATAATGGTTATAATCATAATGTTTTTAAAAAGAATGCAGTTGAATCATCATCTTCAAACTGATGCATCAAGATGTAATTGCACTCCAAGCTAAAAGGATGTAAACATTAATGAGAAACATAATCTTTTAGATGATGTTACTGGTTATTTTAATGTGGAGGTGAATGATATTAATGTGCTAAATTGATGCGTATCATCAATCAAACCTCCCACATAGAGTGTGTATTGTGTTAGAAAAGAGCCGTAGCGCAGTGAGGTTCTCAGACTGACTGTAACGCTCCCCGTAGGGGGTCCTGAATGGGATTAATCCTGTGGTTCCTCTCTCTGTCTCTTAGCGCTCTTAACTCTTCATTTCACTCTGTCTTAATCCAGCAGTATTAGAATGGGGGATTATTATGGCTGCTGTAATGAGTTTAGGTGGGGTGGGGGGGCTCAGATTGTGGATTAAAGCTTCGTAATGTCAGTAATACACCCTGAACCTGAGTGGATCACTGCTTCACAAACACATGCACATGCAGCATCAATCAGTCCATCTTGACAGGCTGGATTAAAGGGGACCCGGTCAGATGGACATTCAGGTGCAGAACTCCAGAATGGAGCAAGAACACAGCAGGAAATACCCACCTACCTACCTAGCTATATGCACCAATCTGGCATAACATTATGACCAAAAAGCCCCCTTTTACCCTGTTCTTCAGTGGTCAGGACCCCCATGGACCCTCACAGAGCAGGTTCTATTTGGGTGGTGGATCATTCTCAGCACTGCAGTAACACTGACGTGGTGGTGGTGTGTTAGTGTGTGTTGTGCTGGTACGAGTGGCTCAGACACAGCAGCGCTGCTGGAGTTTTTAAACACCTCAGTGTCGCTGCTGGACTGAGAATAGTCCACCAACCAAAAATATCCAGTGTCCTGTGACTGCTGATGAAGGACTAGAGGATGACCAACTGTGCAGCAGCAGATGAGCTATCGTCTCTGACTTTACATCTACAAGGTGGACTGACAAGGTAGGAGTGTCTAATAGAGTGGACAGTGAGTGGACACAGTGTTTAAAAACTCCAGCAGCACTGCTGTGTCTGATCCACTCGTACCAGCACAACACACACTAACACACCACCACCACATCAGTGCTACTGCAATGCTGAGAATGATCCACCACCCAAATAGTACCTGCTCTGTGAGGGTCCATGGGGGTCCTGACCACTGAAGAACAGGGTAAAAGGGGGCTAACAAAGTATGCAGAGAAACCGATGGACTACAATCTGTAACTGTAGAACTACAAAGTGCACCTATATAGTAAGTGGAGCTGATAAAATGGACAGTGAGCTTAGAAACAAGGACGTGGTCATAACTTTATGCCTGATCGGTGTATATGCATCATGGAAGATGCAGTTGTGTATTTTTTATTATTATAATAACAAACAGTGTTAAAATTCGAAGCCACTTTATTTCCAAGGCTTTTGGAGGGCCCCCACGTCCAGGAGAGGCCCTTGTTAGTTTAGCCAGGTCCATCATTACTAGCAGCCCAGTGACCCTGTGTATACGTGAAGGATGTGAGTATGTATGTATTCAGAAAATGCGCTCATGAGTGAACGAGTACATGCGCCCTTTGATGTGTCCTCATACATGAACTGTCAGGCATGTCGCTGAGTGGATGTTTATTTACATGCATGTGTGTCTGCAGGGCTGAACCATGACTACTAGTTCTAGGTGGGCTAGGCCAGACCTTAGAGCTAAGACTCCCCTAATGCACACACACTTACATCACACACCACACACATTCATACTCATCAGCAGGACACAGTTATTCTTGTGTGTTCTGTAAGTTATGTATAGTCTAAAACAGACGAAGATGGAGTACTGACCGGGCCAGTCTGTAATCGCACATAAACAAATATGAAGCATTTGTTAAAGGGCCCATATCCAACGTATATTTTTTCCTTGAGGTGCACTTAGGATGTTTGGGTGTTTTGACAGACCACAAATACGCAGAATTCATTTTTACACAACCATTTTCAAACCTCTCTTTATGCTTCAGAGTTAAACAGGCTGTTTTTATAAGATAGAAATATGCAAATGACCCCTGTTCTGATTAGCTACCCTGTTTTACGCCTCATTCAAAAAGCCCCCCGGGGCTGATACACTCAATATGCTAAAAAATGTCAGTGAGAATGGGCGGGGCTAAACTGCTGTAATGTCAGTTGTAGTCAGGGTCAATGGAGACACACGTTTACTCGCAGCTTGAGGCTAAAACAGGTCCACACCTGCGCTCAGACTTCTCCAACAGTGAATCTCAACACATACAAGCAGATAAGAGCTGAGCTGAACGTGAGAGACACAAACTGTGTGTTAGACTATAATCAGGTCACGCTGCTTAAAGTTTATCTCACCACACACAAAAAACTTATGGACTATGTTGCTACAGTAAAACACAAAATACAAAGAATCAGAGGAGTTGAGTCCACTTTGAAGACTGTTGGTTAAAGAGAAAGGCCACCAACCTTTTAAAATTTCTGAACAACTAAATGGTTACGATGTAAACAAAGTCATTCAGAGTGGTTTGGTGTGAAATGTTCCATTCTGGAGAAACTTACAGTCAGATTTGTTCACAGTGGTGGTGATAGGAACCAGACGTCCACCTCTAAAAGCTCCCTCACAGAAAGTTATTACATGAAATGGTTATGAATTCACTGCCTGATGCCTGAGACATTGTGTTACGATGGTTTGGTCATAAAGTTTTGGCCTAAAACGTATTTTCAAAACTTTTTCATAGTGGAGGGATACATGCAGTGGGTTGTAAGGCAAAATAGTCCCTGAAGAATATGTACTTTTAAGATTTTTCACTATTTAAATACAATAAATGTTACATATAAAAACTCGTGTAGGTTCACTGGTGGTTTTGTATAGTAAATAAAATGACTATATTTGCGTTGTAGACATGGTGACCCCTGGTTCATATCCCCTACCACTGTAAAGACATCTGAGTCTCTACAATGAACCATTTCACATTAAACCACTCTGAATGACTTTGTTTATGTCTTAATGTTTGAATTATGCTGAAAATTTGAAAAATTGGTGGGATTTCCCTTTAAGAATAGCCTAGAGACAGAGGTTTGTGAGAATATCAAACCCACTTTTAGATTATTTTGTCATTTTCTCTGGAAACAGAATCTCTTTTACTCGTCCATAAACTTCCCCAAAACTGAAATGCTAGAAAAAGTTGTAAATCTATCATAATTAAATCATTTATTTATTATATATTGATTTGTTTACTCATAAATAACTCCTGGCACACATAAACAACCCCCCACACACATTTTAACTAATGTAATCAATAACAAACACAATAATATCACTCACATATCATCTTTTTCTTGCATTTTATTTTTTTTCATTGTGGTCTGCTTACCACATAACTGATTCATGTCATATCATGTCATATACCCATTTTCCAACCTCTCTTTACAACTGCCTGTTTTTGTTACCATGCCTTTAAGACTGATATATGTAAATGAGCTGTGTTCTGATTGGCTGCCCTGTATTGTGCCTTATTCAGTCAAGGCTGAAACACTCCTTATAACTTTAGTGTGAGTGGGTTTGGCTAAACTGCTGCAGGCTGAATAGGCGGAGGCATCTGAATTTAAGGGTTTTTGTGACATCACAAAAACAAAGTATTCCTTTTGGGCCGGTTTTGCCACTTAGTTCTCACAAATTAACCGTATGGAGTGTGGAGTGAATGACATATTTTAACTTTAACTATGTTTTTTACCACATCAGAATCTGTTATTTCAAAAAAGGAAGGAAAATTAGCTTTTCCCATGATATGGGCCCTTTAAAAGCTCGGCGCCTACAGTAAACTAGCTCTGCCCCCTGCTGTCTGAAAAGAAAAACTGCACAGTCAATACAGCCTCTGCTTATGTAAATATCACCGGCAGGTAAAACAGGGCGCTGTCAGAAATGCGCATGTCAGAATACATTTCCATTCAAACGCTTTACTTTTGAATCAAACCCTCTGTGTGAGTGCCTGAGTGAGTCAGCGTGGGAACAGAGCGCAGTGCTGCCACCAGGCGGTCAGACGCAGAACAACAGGATGCGGAGGAAACAGTGAGAACAGAGTGCTTGGAGATTTATTACAGCTGTAGGTTAGCAGAGTCAGGGGGGGTCAAACAGATGGTGTCTCTTCCCTTTGCGAACCAACCGCAAAATCGTTCCCCCTACGGAAAATAAACACATGCACGTTTAAAAAATATGAAAATGGCTAATTTATTTTTATTTCTTTTTAAATGTTTAGCTCCGCCAATTTACACTGAAGTTATATGAAGTGCTTTTTGAATGAGGCACATTAGAGGATAGGCAATCAGAACAGAGCTCATTTGCATATGTCACAGTAACAGAAACAGTTCAATTCTAAGGGATTAAGAGAATGTTGGAAAACGGTCGTGTAAAAATAACCATTTTTGGTACATAAAACTTCACAAATGTCACAAGACGACAAAAATAAAATACAAGAAAATGTAGGATATGAGCCTTTAATATAAACTACAAAAAAGTGACCAAATATGAGTCAATTCATATTCAATTCTATTCGATTCTTTTGAAAATGATTCAGTGCATTGTGAAAAGTCACATTTCCACACGATTCGGTTCAGTTACTTTGGTACGATTCACAATTTAAATTACAGTTGTGATTTGAGCAAATTGATTCACATAAAATCGATTCAGTTGTGAATCTCTGGGAAACGATTCACTCTACAAACGCGCTGAATGACATGTGAATGCTCCTCACCGTGTTGTCGTTTATTAAAGGGCTCATATCCTTCATTTTTCTTGCTTTGTATATTTCCCACCTGAGGTCCACTTGTGACGTTTGTGCGCTTTTATGTACCAACTATTTATTTTTACACGACCATTTCTCAACCTAACTTTATCCCTTAGAATTAAATAAGCTGTTTCTGTGACTGATATATGTAAATGAGCTCTGTTGTGATTGGCTGTGCCTCATTTAAAAAGCAGTCAGGGCTTAAACACTCCTTAACAGCGAGAATTGGCGGGGCTAAATCTCCTGTAGGATGAATATGCGGATAAATGTAAATGTGTTTGCTATTTTGTGACATCACAAAAACAGTGAATAAAGAATGGACTGTTTGTACAGTTTAGTGTCTGTATATGGACCTTACTGACCAGGGAGTGAACAGTAGGCTTTGAAACTATAACAATGGCCACATATTAAGCTATTTTAATTCACACTGTTTTTTCCATGCTATGGGCCCTTTAATGACGCCTTATAACAGGCTGCAGTGCGTTTGAGGGGCAAAACCGAATAAACACAAAACCGAATAAAACTGAGCCAAATAAAAATCTCTCATGTCTCCAACGTCAGAGAAGACGGACAGCGCGAGCACGATGATCTCACCCATCAGTAGGGGTGGGTGGGTGTTTATGAGGTGGGGAGATGGAGAAGGGGGGGGCGCAGGATGACACGCGCGTTCACAGAGAGGGGAGGGAGGGGATGGAGGGATGGGGAGGGGGCAGGACGAGAGGAACCCGGATGCTGATGCTGCTCGGATGGGGAGAAGGAAGAGAGACGGAAAGGGAGGATAAAAAGAGCGAGAAGAGGAGAGAGGAGTGAAAAAAAAGGCTGAGGGCTTTGAGGATTTGCTGCTTGTCGACGACTCCGGCGCGCAGGAGGAAGAGGAAGAGAAAGAGCGAAGGAGATGGAGATGCAGCGATAGAGCAGCGAATGAGGGAGGGAGGGAGGGAGGGAGAGAGGGAGAGACGGAGGGAGGAGAGAAGGGTTCGTCGTGCCGAGATGCTGGACTGAGAGCGTTTTTGGGATTTAAAGTGCTCCAGGCCCTCGCTGCCCTCCTGCGCTCACTCCAGCATGGGACGCCTGCAGTGAAAGGGCTCCGGGTTTTTACGCACATCCATCCACGCACACCTCTCTCTCTCTCTCTCCGCTCCAGTCTGGAGCGTTTCCTCAAGAGTCAGAGCGGGATTACAGGAAGGGGAGCTCACGTTTGGAGGTGGCAAACATGGATCAGGTACTCTGTATCAGATGACAGGCTTTTTTTTTGGCTTTCCAGAACAGATAGCGAGCCGCCGAACTAGGTCAGTCTGCACTTCCCTGCGAATCTTTCTGAATGTCCTGAATCCTCCGTGGCTGGCAGATGCAGAGGGCTTGTGCTGATTTAGCCTGCTTGATCTACACATTAGCTGCTTTTAATGCCCGCAGACTCATCCTCATTATTGTCCCAGCATATGCACATATGCTCACCTTATCTCAGGCCTGCTGTCTTATTTGCCCACGGTTTGGCAGATTGTAGCATCCTGTATCATCTTTCACCTCTTTAGTGTGCTATCCTGCGACTAACCGAGCTATTCTTATAGCATCATTAGGCTATCATCATCATCGTCATCATCAATATTACTGTTATTATCACTATCATAATATCTGACTGTTGGCTTCGCCTTAACATCTTCCACTCGGCCTGGGAAACAAGAGAAACCCTGTTTTTGTTGTTAAGATATTCACCGGTTTATTAGCCTTGGAGAGCAGAAAGCAGGAGCAGATGTTTGGGAGCAGCAGGCCACGGCCCTGACGTCAGGACTACATTCCCCATCAGCCCCTGCGCGCTCGCCCGGCGCCTGGGGCATGTTGCTGCGGCGCAGCTCGGACCGACAGTGAAGTTTTTGCTTTTTTTCCCATTGTGTCGACGTAAAAAAAGGAAAAGAAATATTAATAATAAGAAGAAATGTCCAGCAAGGAGGTGTCAGGGAGTCCACCGGCTCAGTATGTGGGGCCTTACCGCCTGGAGAAGACGCTGGGGAAAGGCCAGACAGGTCAGCACATCACTACCCCCTCATTTCACTATCAATTAGTGATTGAATATTGATCCCTTTCAAAAAATTACGGCTGTGGAGCTCCTGTCCTGCACACTGTAGCATTTTACAGCTCAGGCACACCCACTTTAAAGGGGAATTCCACCCATTTTTCAAAATTTCTGCATAATTCAGTGGATAAGTCATTCAGATTTGTTTGATGTGAAAGTGGTTCATTGTAGAGACTCAGATTTCTTCACAGTGGTGTTGATGGGAACCAGGGGTCACAATGTCTACAACACAAATATAGCCATTTAATTTACTGCCCGAAACCACCAGTGAACCCCAACACGTGTGTCCTGAGTTTATAGGAAATATTAATTACAGTAAAATAGTGACAAATCTTAAAAATAAGTTTTCTTTGGGGACTATTTTGACTTACAACACCATGTACCCCTCCACCAGGAGCAGGTTTTAAAAATACGTTTTAGGCCAAAACATTATCTGGATCTAATGATGATCATGGCAAAATAGTGGAAAAGCTAAAGAATGTTTTCTTTGGGGACTGTTTTGCCTTAGAACATCCTTCATGTATACTCCCACCATTAATAGTTTAAATATATGGATTAAAATATGTTTCAGGCCACAACTTTTATCACACAACTATCGTAAAAAGACATCTCAGACCTCCGGCTGAATATATATAACCATTTCCTGTAATAACTTTCTGTGAGAAGCTTTTATAGGCATTAAACTCTTCAGACGTCTGGTTCTCATCACCACCACTAACAATTCTGACCATACGTTTCACTAGAATGGAGCATTTCACACCAAACCGCTCTGAATGACTTTGTTGACATCTTTACAGTTTAGTCATGCAGAAATTTTGAAAAATCACTGGAATTCCCCTTCAGCTTCATGAAGGTATGTGCCCACTAAATCAAGTAAATTCACAGCTCTGTTTAGCTGTTGAGCTGGATCAGGTGTGGTTATGAAGTTTGGGTGCTGCAGACTTTAGCCTCAGACATTGATGTCTTTATTCCAGCTATAGATATGTCCACTCATGATTATTGCTAGAGGTGAGCAATATGGCAAAATATCACATCACAATATAATTTCAAGACATTTTCTCAAGATGTGATGCACATCACAATATTTCCACACACAATGAAGTAATAGCGCCACTTTTAAAAACTGCAGTCAGAAACTCCAGATTTTCCATACTGCGCTGCATTAAATCAAAGAAAACTTAATTAAATCAAGTTTAATCTAATTCAACTGTCTATGTAGTGAAACAGTTGATAACAGTTGATGACAAAAGTTATATGATAGCGATCAATTATCGCCTCTAAATATTGTTATCAAAAGCAAACACTACAAACATGTACAAGTGTTATACATGTGCTCTTTTTTATTAATTTAATATTGTGATAATATCGGTAACTGTGATAAAAGGTTAGGCACATGCCTAGTAAGAACACAGAACATAGACTAGTGGGAACAAACTGAGTGTGAAATTTCTAAACTTGTTCAAATCCCCATGAAGGCAGAGCTGAAAGTAGGGGCGATGGTGCCCTCGTCGTCATTGTTCAGACAGCAAGCCTGTCGTTAGCACATGGATGTAATGTAAGTTAGCACGGCTGAAAAGTCACCTCAGAATAATCCAGTTAAGCTTGTAGACGTGCGTCATGTGTACAGGGAACACAGAACACATTAAATGCAGTATAGTAAACGTTACTTCTTACATGCCGAAAAATAGTTCCATTAGCTAACAACAGTGTTTGGCTAGCTAGCTTGTTTTGCTTATGATTGCACTTTGACCATTAAAAGGCTAGAAGAATTTAGGGCTGGGTTTTAAAGGGGCGTGGCCTTATTTGCTGGTGATAGCAACTGTATTATGTCATTTTATATGAATTGATATGAATTGATATGAATTATTTCTCACTCAGTATTTCTTAAACAGAAAAAGTCAGACGTGCAGACTTGAGGGCGTCAATGCTGACTGTAAACTGAATGTAAATGTGATTCTTTGTGTAACTCAATAAGGAATTAAAGGGGAAATTCCACAATGTTCTCAGATTTCTTCATAATTAAATCATTGAGATGTCACAAAGTCATCAGAGCGGTTTGGTGTGAAAGGGTTCATTATAGAGAAACTTGCAGACTCAGATTTCTTCACAGTGGTGGTGATAGGAACCAGAGGTCATGATGTTATGATGAACACAAATATAGCCATTTTATTTGGTATCCAAGGTCACTAGTGAACCTAACCTGTCTTCTGAGTTTTTATATGTGGTGTTGATGATGGTAAAATAACAGTAAATCTGAAAAAAAAAAGTTTTGTTTCTGCATGTACCACCCTGCCACGAAAGGATAAAAAAAAAAAAATGGGTCAAACTGTCTCAAAATCGGCATAAAACAATGTCTCAGTCTTCAGACACAGTGTTCTTAAACATTTCTTATAGTATATTTCTGTGAGGGAGCCTTTTAGAGGCATTAAACACCTCAGATGTCTGGTTCCTATCACCACCACTTTAAACATTTGTGACTCATTTACATTTAATTTAATTATACAGAAAGTTTGGAAAATCAGTGGAATTCCTTTAAGTGTATAATTATGTAATTACGTCTGAATAGTAAAGTGAAACGAAAAGAGCTAAAAGAGGTAGAATGCTAAACTTTTCAGTAGGGCTGCAAAAAACACAAATATTTTGATATTTGATTATTCATATGAATTAATTGACTAATAATTAATTAATTGGTTTAAATGTGGCCTGTAAGTGTGAAGAGCTGTAACAATATAGTGTTACATAATGTTCTGAGAAAGTGAGGTTCTGTTCACCAAGAGCTACAGTTTGCAATACATATGTATATATATATATATATATATATATATATATATATATATATATATAATGTAAGTATAGAACCAGACATTTTTCCAAATAATTCTGGGCCGTTTATTTTGGTTCATTCATCTTGAAATTTACACACAGTCGGCATTTTCTAATTATTTTTTAAAACTGAAAAAATGACAAAAAAAAGCAGATACAAGGTTTTGGTCCGACAGCAGCAACATATATGTATCTGTTTTTCATGTGAAAACTGTTTATAAATTGAGTTGTATTTTTAGCTAATTAAGCTGTTGTACATAGTTAGCTAGCATAGTTAGCTCTAACAGGCCAAGCTGCTGAATGTTCAGTACTTACACTGAATGTTCAGTGCTTGAATACGTCTAATCAGCAGAAATTGATACAGCTTAGAACATTGTAGTGACTAACGTTAGTGATGTAAACATAATGAGCTTTTTATGTCTGTAAGGGGAACGTTACCTCATTCTGTCCAGTCACTTATACTGAGAACTGAGTGTCCTCAGGGAGGAGTTCAGTTCGTCAGAACATCGGCATGGAGGGAAAGCTAACGTTTAAAGACTGTCCTTCTGCTTCAGCATGTTTCCTGCATTTGTGGAAAGCTAAGTCAGACATGCATATTGTCGATATAACACAAAAAAACTTGTATCTTCATTGTATCTTAACTGCTTTTTCTTTCACTATCTGCTCACACTGCTATGACCCTGTAAGTGAACTGCTGTCTTCTTCAGGTTAAGTCGTTAACTCACTCTAGATTGGACGTCACTCTAAACGGAAAATTTACAGAAATATTTTTATTGAAACAAATTTTTATTGTCAACATTATCGATAATTGCATCAGCCGTACTCTTCATTATCTGGGTCCTTTGGGCCTGGAGGTCTGACACCTTCCCAGCTTGAGATAATCAACTTAAACCAGTGGATCCCAGTCCTGCTGCCTTGTACTGCTCGAACAGACCTGACTCAACTCATCAGCTGGTGCCCAAACCCTTCATGAGGGTAGAGTGGATGTGTTCGAACAGGGAGACACTGAAATATGCAGAGCACTGGGCCTCCCGGCGCAGGATATGGGAAAACACACCTTTAGAGGGATTATCTGTAGCTTGAATAGAGGGAAGACACTACGTCCTCATCCACACATGTCCATATATTATTAAAATTGCAGTTTAAATATCTCTCCGTTCACATGAGAAGGCAAAAATGACTCGTCTGTGCATGCCAGCCCAGTAAGGGGTGATAATACCTCATAAAAGTTTGTATCATTCACCTTAAGATGAACATTGTGACCTGTGCGCTGTGCAAAATATAGAGCGTGCTGCAAAGCTAAGGCAGAGACTTTCTCACAAATTGCATTACAAACACAGTAGACGTTGACCTGCAGGCCGTCAGACCTCCTTAATTCAACATTCCACACAGATTCAAAGTCTGATTTCTGCCAGAAAGTAAAAGCTTAAAAAAAGCAGAAGAAAACCTACCGCTTGCTGTGGGGTTATTTATGTTGCCATGGCTACGCCACGGTCTCTGAAACATCCACATAGTCCTGATCAGGCAGAGTTTTTCTAGCTTTTCACCAAATTTGAATAATGCAATTCAAATTTATTTTCATTCTGACTTTGGTTAATGATCATGAAGTCATATATCTTTAGAACTACTGAGGTATTTTTGATATTTGCAGTTGAGGTGGCACCCCATTTACAAGAACTGACCACAGTACATTCTGACACCTCCACACTAAGGTTTAATAAAATGTTAAGCCAAATTCAGTTATAAACTTTATTAACTCCTAGATTGGCCCTGAATTGCTGAGCACACAAACAATTGAGTTGTTGCTCATATTCCAGACAGAGCTGTGCATCTCAATCTTAATAAATGATGGGCGGAGCTTCCTAGAAGTTTTAACCGTTTTATAGTTCTCTTCATTCATGTTATAACATGCTGTCTTCATAGTAACGACTGGGTTTAGATGCAATTTTTACATGTTATTTTAACTACAATTTTTACATGTTGTTATTTTAACACTGATTGCCACAAAGTATTAATTGGCAGGATTACGGATTTTGGCGAGATTTTCACTGATAACAGAAAATTGACTGGATATCAATATCCGTCTTATATTATCAGTCATTTGCTATATATCAGTCAGACTGTAGTCTGAATATGGATTTGGATGTTTCCTCTTTAGGTTTGGTGAAGTTGGGAGTTCACTGTATCACTGGACAGAAAGTGGCCATAAAGATAGTAAACAGAGAGAAGCTGTCAGAATCTGTTCTCATGAAGGTAAAGTTTACTTTCTCTCTCTCCTCTCTCTCTCTCTCTCTCTCTCTCTCTCTCTCTCTAGCACACAGTTTAATTGAATTAACACTACTCTTGAAAATCTGCTAATGTGTTTAAAGCTAAGCACCTCTCTGCTTCCTGTCACTCTGTTCATTCACATCTCTTGTTTTTTTGTTCTCTCCCCTCATTCTCAGGTGGAGAGAGAGATAGCAATCCTCAAACTTATCGAGCACCCGCACGTTCTCAAGCTGCACGATGTGTACGAGAATAACAAATATCTGTAAGTACACAGAAACATCAGAAGAATCAACACCAGAAACATTAGAAACATCAACACCAGAAACATCAACACCAGAAACACCAGAAACATCAACACAAGAAACATTAAAAACACCAGAAACATCAGAAACATCAACACAAGAACCAGTAGAAACAGCAGAAACACCAGAAACATCAGAAACATCAACACAAGAACCAGTAGAAACAGCAGAAACACCAGAAACATCAGAAACATCAACACCAGAAACATCAGAAACCTCAACACCAGAAACATCAGAAACACCAGAAACATCAACACCAGAAACCTCAGAATCAACTGTGTGTTTGGACGTTCCTGTTCATGCGCCCTGCAGAGCTGCAGTGTAATTAATTTCTCTCCCTTTTAATTGCCAAAGCTTGGTTTACAAAGGTGAACATTAAATAATACATTGACATTAAATACACATTAATACAACCCCATTTCCAAAAAAGTTGGGACGCTGTGCAAAATATAAATAAAAACAAAATGCAATGATGGTAAAATCATTTAAACCCTATATTTCATTGAAATTAGTACAAAGACAACATATCAAATATTGGAACTGAGAAATTTTATTGTTTATTGAAAAATATATGCCCATTTTGAATTTGATGCCAACAACACACTCCAAAATTTTTTGGACAGGGGCAACAGAAGACTGGTAAAGTTGCATAATGCTAAAAAACAAATCTGGTGGTTAATTGGCAACAGGTCAGTAACATGTTTGGGTATAAAAGAGCATCTCAGAGAGGCTTTCAGACGTAAAGATGAGGAAGTTCACCACTCTGTGAAAGACTGCATGATCAAATAGTGCAACAATTCAAGAATGTTTCTCAACGTAAAACAGCAAAGAACTTTTGCTTTTGATCATCTACGGTATAATAATATTATTAAAAGGAGAAATCTCTGTATGCAGGGGACAAGGCCAAAAACCAGTATTTGCTGGCCGTGATCTTTGGGCCCTCAGGCAGCACTGCATTAAAAACAGACATGATTCTGTACTGGAAATCACTGCATGGGCTCAGAAACACTTCTGAAAACCACTGTCTGTGAAAACAGTTCCTCACTGCATCCACAAGCAAGTTAAAACTCAAAGAAGAAACCGTATATAAACAGGACCCAGAAATGCTGCCACCTTCTCTGGGCCTGAGCTCATTTTAAATGTTCTGCGGTGAAGTAGAAAAGTGTCCTCTGGTCTGACGAATCAACATTTTAAATTCTTTTTAGAAATCATGGACACTGTGTCCTCCGGGCTAAAGACCACCCAGCTTGTTATCAGTGCACAGTTCAAAAGCCAATATTCATGATGATATAGGGGTGCATTAGTGCACATGGCATGGGTGACGTGCACATCTGTGAAGGCACCATTAATGCTGAACGATATATACATGTTTTGGCAACATATGCTGCCATCCAGACGACGTCTTTTTCAGGGAAGGCCTTAAATATTTTAGCAAGACAATGCCAAACCACATTCTGCACATATTACAATAGCATTGCTCCGTATTAAAAGAGTCCAGGTGCTAAACTGACCGGCCTGCAGTCCAGACCTGTCACCACTGAAAACATTGGCGCGTTATGAAATGAAAAATACAACAAAGGAGACCCCGAACTGTTAAGCAGCTCAAATCCTGTATCAAACAAGAATGAGAAAAAAATTCACTTTCAACACTACAGCAGTGTCTCCTCAGTTCCCAAACGCTTACAGAGTGTTGTTAAAAGAAGAGGTGATGAAACACAGTGGTAAACATGACCCTGTCCCAACTTTTTTGGAGCATGTTATTGGCATCAAATCCAAAATGGGCATATATTTTTGAATAAACAATAAAATTTCAATATTTGATTTGTTGTCTTTGCTGTATTTTCCTTTAAAAATATGTTTTACATGATTTTGTATATCATTGCATTCTATTTTTAGTTACATTCTGCACAGCATCCCAACTTTTTTGGAAATGGGGTATTACATAATTATAAAAACAAGAAATGGAACATGTTCGAATACAAATGTAAAAATGAGAAACAGTTGACATTAAACACTGAATATTAAACTCTCTCTCTCTCTCTCTCTCTCTCTCTCTCTCTCTCTCTTTCAGGTATCTAGTATTAGAGCATGTATCTGGTGGAGAGCTGTTTGATTACCTGGTGAAGAAAGGCAGATTGACCCCTAAAGAGGCCAGAAAGTTCTTCAGACAGATCATCTCTGCGCTGGACTTCTGCCACAGTCACTCTATATGGTAATCCAGCCCGTGTGAAACGTGTTTGTATCTACAGTGACTACATGCTACAGATAAGGCCTCTTTGCTGCTGTCTACTCTCAAAAAACACACCCTCTATATTCTATTCTGTGGCCTCGTTGTAGTGGATAATAGTGCAGATTTCTGATATCATAATTAATATTACTGATGGAACAATATTAATATGAAAGGATTGCTGTTTTACAGCACCTGAGTGATTCATTAATTTTCTCATTTAGAGAAACAGTGTATATGTTCATTCTTCATGATGTCTGTCTTTACAGTGTATGACTATTTTAAGAGTAAGTAAGTTTTATTTTTACCCACTTTTGAAAAGACACACTGTTGGGACGGGGTTAGTGTGACGTGTGGAGGTGGTACTGTAATTATTATCGGTGCTTTTCTCAGTGATTTTTGTCCCGTCCACTGTGTCATTTTTACAGACCCCGAATATTAAAGGAAAGCATAATCGAGTAGCTGCTCCCATCTCTGTCCTTTACACTGAGTTGACTGATCTCTTTTAAATCAGTCGTAAACCTTACAGACCCCTGTGGTTATGACATTAGCCCACCTCCCCAAAGTCCAGATAGTACTTTAGGCTGAATGTACAGGTCTGCTAGTGGACTCGTGAGTTCAGGCCTAGGATTTTCACCTGATTTCATTTTTTTTTTTTTGATTTTTTTCTGTTTTCTGTCTTTTCTAGTCACTGCCCTGTCTGTCTATCAGCCATGCTCATTCCCTATACTGGCTCTGTTCTCTCTCTCTCTCTCCCTCTGTCTTCTCTCTCTTCCCTATCTCTCTTTCTTTCCCTGTGTGCCTCTTTTTTCCTCTCTCTCTCTCTCTCTCTCTCTTCTCTCTCTCTCTTTCATCTATCTCTCTCTTTCTTTCTTTCCTCTCTCTCTCACTCTCTTACTCTTTTTTCCTCTTTCTCTCTCTTTCATTCCCTCTCTCTTTCTTTCCCTGTGTGTCTCTCTTTCTCCTCTCTCTCTTTCTCTGTGTCTGTCTGTCACTCTCTTTTTCCTTTTTCTCACTCTGTCTCTCTTTCCTCTCTCTGTCTGTCTCTCTTTTTACTCTTCCTCTTTCTCTGTGTCTCACTCTCTCTCTCTCACTCTCTCTTTCTCTGTTTCTCTTTGTGTCTGTCTCTCTTTTCTCTCTCTCTCTCTCTCTCTCAGTCACAGAGATCTAAAGCCGGAGAATCTCCTGCTAGATGAGAAAAACAATATCAGGATTGCAGATTTTGGTATGGCTTCCCTACAAGTGGGAGACAGCCTGCTAGAGACCAGCTGTGGGTAAGTTCTCTCTCTCTCTCTCGCTCTGTGTGTGTGTATGAACACTGTTAAATAAAATGCTCCACTTTAATTGGAGCTCACGCTGTGTTTGTTATGTAATTGCAGGTCTCCTCATTATGCGTGTCCGGAGGTCATTCGGGTAAGTCTGCTCTCTCCTCTTCTGCTTAATTAAAACTAATCCAGCGTGCTGTAAGAGCTTTGAGTGTTGGGGTAGTTGTTTAAAAAAGGTACTTGATAGCAAATAACTAATTACTACTCTTACTTTAGTTATTACATCCTACAAAAATAATCTCTCTACTCATTACTTTACTTCTGAATTACTCTCTAAAGCCCAAACACATCTGTACCAGCTGTACATGGAAAAGTCCAACAGTTCTTTCAGTACTTTAGAAATAAATAGGGCATCAGCATAAGCATAGTTTTACAGACCTGTCGCTGTGTCCCTGCCTTAAAAATGATGAACGGCTAAAGATGAGGCTGGCTTTACACAGTGAAACCTTCATGAAACTGGATTGCACGTCAGTTGCATAATGTGAAGCCTCCTGCAAATCACTTGAAACTCATCCGCCACAGTTGCAAGCGTCAGTTGCAAGTTTGTGAAACAAGTTTCATGAAAGAGCAAATCGAAATGGCCATTACGCATCACGTGATCACGTCGACACACTTTCAAACCATTAATTTCACTGTCACTGTCAAGTCACTGAACAAAAAGTAAAACAGAACATTGTTTATTGGACTGTTGAAAAGGAGACCGCCCCCACGACTGACTCACAGTTGGTAGTTTTTCATTTTGTAAATGATCTGAGTCATTACAACAAACGTGAGTTTCTAATGTTTGTGTAATCTGGGTTAACTAACCATCTGATGCTAACAGCTGTTTAAATGACTGCTTGTGCTACAGTTTATTCTTCTTTAGCCTGTTCTTAACATGTTCTACATAGCTAGATCCATTTTCCTCTCTTTTGATGTCCCCAGTTCTATACCAAGCTCAAATTCTTTTGGGATCTAAACGAAAATTGTTACAGAAAAGGCTCAGTTGCTATTCTTGAAAAATTTCTAATCTTGAAAAGCTTCTAGAACAGGATGCAAGAGATATCAAGTAGGCTGTAAACGTAACGGCTACTAAAACATTCATTTTCAAAGGTTTAACACAAACAACTGAACAAAGTATATTGTATCATACAGTAAAGAACACTAGATAAATAGATAGATTAAAGACATATATCGATATGGAGAAAACCTTTGCAATGACAGCTGGAAAGAACAGGATAAAAACGAAGATGATAAAAATGCTAAATGTATGTAAATGCAGTGCATGAAAAATGAGCTGATTTGGCTAACTAGAGGAGTAATTAAATGTGTTGCATGCAACTGGTTGTTTTTGAGTTGCTTTGTGTATCTGTCAAGTTGCATGGAAAATATGTTGCAGGCAACTCAAAACATGGAACTAGTTGGGTTAGAGTTTTATTGTGTGAAGCCAGCCTTACAGAGAAATTAGTCCTGTTTAGCTGAGGCTGGGTCTCTTTCTTCTTCAGCACAGAGATCTTTATATACCAGTGTTAAATTATGATTAGGTGCTTCGACAGATTGTTTGCCAAGATTGTGGTGCCTCCCTGCTGCGCTGCTCACACTCGCAGTCATGCTCACACAGTCAGCTGACACAGGCAGTGCACACATGCAAATGACGTACAAGGACTGGCGTGGAGAATACATATAGACGAAATTTATGATTTAAATACGTCAAACGTAATTAATGTTATTCTCTATTTTGTACTGCTGAGTGAGCCGTACTGTACCTGAGTACCTGTGCTGAATATCGCTTTGACTCACTACTTCAGGAGTCGGCAGCCCAAATGTTAAGAAGAGCCATTTTGTCCTTTCAACAAAAATCACACCACTTTGTGAGCCACAACAATTTATGTCCATTTTACCATCTTGGCTGTAAATATGTAGTATGTGCTGATGTATTTGTACAGGCTGAAAAATATAATATAAATGAAAACACAGACTTACTTCGCTCTGCTTTAAGCTTGAGCTCAGCTATAGCTGCTTTTCTCACATCTCCGGCAGGAAACTTTAACACAAAAGTAGAACAGTTTCTTGTTAAATGTCTCTTAATGTTTTTTTTTTTTTATATAGAGCTGAAGTCGCTTCTCATTCACCAGCTTTATGTTCGAATTTTCTCGTTCCACCTTAAATGGTGCCTGAGGTGCCAGAATGTAACTTCTGGACCGTTTAAAGTGGAACAGGGAAAATTAGACCAAGAAACTGGCGAATGAGAAACAGCTTCGCGACTTTTTAGTGTTTGACAGTTTCTCGTTGGAGATTAAACGTATCAGGAAACCAGCTGGAGTGATTATAAATGCAAATAAGTCCATCTGTCTCTAAATTATCGATGTTCGTCTTAAATCTCTCTCTTTGCCTTTTCGTTAGCTACTAGCTAGGCGAGGCTGTTGTCTGCATTGCTGTGTGAGCAGCAGTCTGCACGGCAGCCTTCAGAGTTAAAGGGTGAATTAGCAGTTCTACATTAACTCCACCGTTTTCTACCATTTATTATCAGCAGAGCTTTATTTTACTGTAAAGGAGGATTCTTTTATTTTTACCTACAAATCTGATTCAGCTGTGGAGCCACAACAGGGCAGTAAAGAGCTGCATGTTGCTGACCCCTGCACTACTTAGATGTGTGTCACACATACGTTAGATGAGTGGCCACTCGCAGCAGAAGGAAAGCAGGGGACGGTGAGGAGCGGATTAACACACTGGCCCTCAGAAGGTTAGCTTCGAGGCTAATCGGCTAGTTATACAAACGTTGCAATGCTAAACCATTTTTCAGACGTTTGAGCATAACATACAAATTAACGTGTGAGTTATTGCTTCGTCTGGATAGAAACGTGGATAATAGTCATGGTGTAGTGCCTTTCCTTTGGTTCTTGTTAGCCACGTAGCCTTTAGCATGCTAACTAGCCCGCTAGCAGAGTAAGCTGATGAAGCTGTATCAGCACTCATGTATAACAGATAGAGTAGTTTGTAACGTAAAGCCCAGCCAATCGAATGCTGTAGTTTTAGGCATTTTAAAGTAGTTTACTGCTGTAGCTTCTAAGTCCACCATTATTTTTGGGTTTGAAAGGAGAGCGTAATGATTTCTGGGCAAGTTCTGCTGTTGAAGTGTTCACTCGTTCCCTCACCCCTCCAAAGGGCTCATCTAACACCCTTCCCTCGAGCTAAGAATGTAATGGAACAGCCCTTAAGATGGCGCCGGGAATCCCCCGAGGGGAAATGATGAGGCCAAGTGGACGAGTGCTTGTTATGTGACGTGACCATGAAAGCTAAAGAGAACTCCTTCCACTCCCACAGTTCTGTTATGTGATGGAGATGGACTCAGATACTTGACCACGTAATGAACGTAATGAAATTGCAAGAATTTAAACTATAATGTGTTATTACATTGGTGTGTACTGTGTTACCCCAACACTGGAGCTTACAGGTATATTTGGCTTGATTTTATATTCATATGTCTGAGAGAGATTGAGGGATATTGTATGTAATGAAGCTGTGTTGTTTTTAGGGGGAGAAGTATGACGGCCGCAGGGCGGACGTATGGAGCTGTGGAGTTATACTCTTTGCTCTGCTCGTGGTGAGAAACTCTCTTTTTCTGAATTTTCCCTCAGACTGCTCTGTTTCTCTTTGCTGTTTGTTCAAATGTAATTCACATGTTGGAGCAAATAACTGCCATTGAGGTTTAACCCTTAGAGGTCAAGCTGTATCACTGTTGACTAATGTTTCCATTATTGTTTTATTTGAAATGCCATCATGGTGATACTGAATATTTGCTCCGTGAAGGGAATAAAATTAAGCTCTATGTTTACTGCATGTATAATAGTATAATAGTGTTTAAATCTCTGACCTGCAGGGTGCCCTGCCCTTTGACCACGATAATCTGCGGCAGCTCCTGGAGAAGGTGAAGAGTGGAGTTTTCCACATGCCTCACTTCATCCCCCCAGACTGTCAGGCTCTGCTCCGCGGCATGATCGAGGTCAACCCAGAGAAACGCCTCACGGTATGATCTCTCTCTCTCTCACGCGCACACACACACACACACACACACACACACACACACAGAAGTACTCTCTGTGAGTGGACAGAGCTTTCTATGTACAATCAGATTTAGACAGAATTTTGTTAAATTCAGACAGAATTTTGTTGGGTTGCGGGGTATATAATTTTGTCAGACAACAATTGGCTTTGGACAAAATTTCGTCAGGCAAAAGATTGAAAAAAAAAATTTGGGCTACAGTCAGATTCAGAATTTTGTCTGGCTACAGTCAAATTTAGACAGAATTTTTGCATGTCTAGAGTCAAAGTCAGACAGAATTTTGTCAGGCTCCAAAAAAAATTGTTGGGCTACAGTTGAATTAGGACAGAATTTTGTCAGACTACAGTTGGATTCAAACAGAGTTTTGTCAGGCTACAGTCGAATTTAGACAGAATTTTATTGGGCTACAGTCAAATTCATACATATTTTTGTTAGGTTACAGCCAAATTTAGACAATTTTGTGGGAGTGTAGAAGGATTTAAACTGAATTTTGATGGCTACAGTGACGTTCACACCGAATTTTGATGGCTACAGTGACGTTCACACAGAATTTTGATGGCTACAGTGACGTTCACACAGAATTTTGATGGGACAGAATATTGTTTGGGTACAGTCCGATTCAGACAGAAATTTTGTTGGGCTACTTTTAAATTCAGGCAATTTTTTTGGCTACAGTCAAATTTATACAGAATTCTGTGGGGCTACTGACGGATTTGGGCAGAATTTTATCAGGCTACAGTTGGAGTCGAGCAGAATTGTGATGGCTACAGTCAGGTACATGTAGAATTGTGACAAGCTTCAGTCAGATTTAAACTGAATTTTGTTGGGTTAAAGTTGGTTTCAGACAAAATTTTGTTGGGCTACAGTGACGTTCAGAAAGAAGTTTGTTGGGCTACTATCAGATTGAGACAGAATTTTATCAGGCTGCAGCTGGATTCACACAGAGATTTGTCAGAGCACTGTTGGGCTCCAAATTGTGTTGGGCTACAGTCGGATTTAGACAAAATTATTCGTGAGGTTACAGTTGGATTCAGAGAATAAAAAAATTCAGGCCCAATTAAAGCTTTAGAGCATCACATGTTCCTGTACTATATCAGAAACGAAAAATATTTCAGCTCATTTATCTTCTCAACAAAATTACTCATTCCTTTTATCATGAGGACATTTGCTCCCCACAGTTACAGCAAAACATAATACACGTATCCATGCACGCACATTTGACTGTGTTGTACAGTATGTTTGTGGTGATGAGTGTGTGTTTGTGTGTTTACAGCTGGAAGCAATACAGAAACACCCGTGGTATCAGTGAGTACCTATTGCACCTCTGTCCCTCCATCATTTACTCCTTTATTCTCCATCACCACTGAGTGCTTTACAACAGTTACAAATTGTCAACTGTCTACAAATATAAAGTTATACAACTTGATAATAGTGTTAAATGTATAATATAAAGGATAATGAATATTTCAAACATTTTATTTGTTGAGTATATATTATAAAATGGCCTTTCGAGGCACAGGTATTCATTTTAAAAGAATGGATTAAGGTTGTGATAGTTATGGTGCCAGTAAGGGTGTTTTAATCAATAGTCTCTCTCTCTCTCTCTCCTCTAGGGGAGGCCGGAACGAACCATGTCCGGAGCAGCCCCCTCCGCGACGTGTCTGTGTGAAGCGGATTCTGTCTCTGACAGAGCTGGACCCTGACGTGCTGGACAGTATGTACTCTCTGGGCTGCTTCAGAGACCGTGTCAAACTCACGCGAGACCTCCAGTGCGAAGAGTGAGTCCATTTGTGCATGTTAACCAGCTAACGAGGCATTGGTAAAGTTTACTCAGACCCTAAATTTATTATCCAAACCCTCGATTTATTGTCAAGTTACTAATCTTAAGACTTATTATTGAACAACTAGCATCAGTTATTCAGGAGCTACTGGACATTATTCAGTTACTGCTATAAATGATTTAGTAGTTACTGTACGTTATTCAGTAGCTACAATAAATGATTCAGTAGTTACTGTAAATCATTCATTAGCTACAATAAATGATTCAGTAGTTACTGTAAATCATTCAGTAGCTACTGTACATTATTCAGTAACTACTATAAATGATTCAGTAGCTACTGTATGTTATTCAGTAAACACTATAAATAATTCATTAGCTACCATACAGTTTTCAGTAACTACTATAAATGATTCAGTAGTTAATGTAAATGATTCAGTAGTTATTGTAAATAATTCATTAGCTACTGTAAGTTATTCAGTAACTGCTGTAAATGATTCAGTAGTTACTGTAAATGATTCAGTAACAACTGTATGTTATTCATTAACTACTATAATGACTCAGTAGTTACTGTATGTTATTCAGTAACATGATTCAGTAGTTACTGTAAATGATTAACTACTATAAGTTATTCAGTAACTATTATAAATAATTCAGTAGCTATTGTAAACGATTCAGTAACTACTATGAATGAATCAATAACTGTGAAAGGATTCATTAAGCACTATAAGTTGTTCAGTAGTTTCTACAAGTTATTCAGTGACTACTCTAAATGTTTTGGTAACCACTATAAAACATTCTGTAACTTCTTGAAGTTGTTCAGTAACTGCTATGAAAATACAGTGGCAGTTCTGTGGTTACGAGAGTGAGGAGGGTGAATTGCGGACCCACATACAGAGCCTTACAGTTTAAGGGGTTAAAGAGTAAATGGGCAGTTATGAAACGAAATGCTGTAGTATTGAGTTCTGAACATATATTTTCTATGGTTGGTGTTTGTACTGTTGGTTTCTACTTATTTCCTTATTTGTAGCATTCAGCTTCTCTTTGATGCTTTCTCCCCTCACTCCTTCCTTTACCCTCTCTGTCTGTCTCTCTCTCTCTCTCTCTCTCTCAGAGAAAACCAGGAGAAAATGATTTATTATTTGCTGCTGGACAGGAAGGAGCGCTACCCCAGCTATGAGGACGAGGATCTACCTCCTCGAAATGATATCGGTGAGAAAGATGACGTTGCAGTAGCCCGACTTTTTTCTAGCAAATAACAGCTGCAAAGGGCAAAACGAGGTGAGAATTCAAAAGGGCAAAATGGTTCAAATGAATGAACTGAATGAATCCAGCACACTTTAAAAAGGACAAATTCGTTCTCTTTATTATACAAATAGCACATACACTCTCTGTCCACTTCATGAGGTACTCCTCTTTGTATTTACACTCTTTGTCCATTTTATTAGGTCCAAATATATAGTAGCACTTTGTAGTTCTACAATTACAGACTGTAGTCCATCTATTTCTATGTATACTCTGTTAGCCCGCTTTCACCCTGTTCTTCAATGGTCAGGACCCCCCGCAGGACCACCACATTTGGGTGGTGGATCATTCTCAGCACTGCAGTAACACTGACGTGGTGGTGGTGTGTTAGTGTGCGTTGTGCTGGTCTGAGTGGATCAGACACAGCAGTGCTGCTGGAGTTTTTAAACACTGTGTCCACTGACTGTCCACTCTATTAGACACTCCTACCTCGTTGGCCCACCTTGTAGATGTGAAGTCAGAGACAGTAGCTCATCTGTTGCCGCACAGTTTGTATTGGTCATCCTCTAGTCCTTCATTATTGGTCAGTTTCTAGCCACAGGACGATGTTGGCTGGAAATTTTTTGATTGGGGAACTATTCTCAGCTCAGCAGTGACGCTGAGTTGTTGCTTTGTATCAGGTCAGTGCTGAGAATGATCCACCACATTCATAATACCTGCTCTGTGGTGGGCCTGTGGGGGTCCTGACCTTTGAAGAACAGGGTAAATTAATGCAGAGAATAGATGGACTACAGTCTGTAGTTGTAGAACTACAAAGTGCTCCTATATGGTAAGTTAATCTAATATGATGGACAATAAGTGAAGATACAAAGTGGGTGTACTTAATGAGGCGGTCAGTGAGTGTATATTCAATGGAGGATATACAGATATTACTAAAGTTGTTTAAAGATCAGGGAAAAATCGAATTCCCTTTTACCTCCAATGTAGCTGATCAGCCAAGACATATTTGCTTCTGAGAGTAACGCAATTTCAATACTCTGTATGTCCTGTACATATTGTAGTATTGACAATAAAGCTGACTTGACTTGACTTGACTTGACTTGACTTCTTCAGTTTTGCACTAGAGCTGCAAGGCTAATGTTGCTAACACGTAGAAAACTCATGTATTTAAATTAGCGTGGTGCTAATTATGTGCCTAAATTATCACACACTTGTCTAAAGCTCTGTGGAGTTGTTTGGTATCCCTCTTTTAGACTTGATTAAGTGGTTTCTGTATGTCCCACTGTTAACTATAAAAATGGACAAAAGTACATCACATAGCTAAGAACAGTAGCAGTAGTCATCTTAAAGTTAGCCATTTTATGTCCAATTGCTGTAGACTTTCATTGATTGTTAGCTACATTAGCCTCGTAGCTCTGGTGTAAAATTAAAGAAGCAAATTTCAGACATTTTGTCAGAAAGGAGGTAAACAAGTACTTTAAAAGGGGTTTCATGTGTGACAGATGTTAGTGTCTTATATTCTTCCAAACAAAAACATCCCTAAAGCTTATTTAAAATGTCAGATACTGATTACACACTTTAAAAACGTGTATTATTTTAACTGTAAAACGTCTGTTGAACATCAAAAAAGAACAACATGTGTTACATTATGTTAAAGGGAAATTCCACCAATTTTTCCAAATTTCTGCAGTGGTTGAGATGTAAACAAAGTCATTCAGAGTGGTTTGATGTGAAACCGATGATTACAGTGGTGGTGATGGGAACCAGGGGTCTCAATGTCTACAACACAAATACAGCCATTTATTTACTATCCAAAACCACCAGTGAACCTACACGTGTCTTCTGAGTGTTCATATGTAATGATGATGATGGTTAAATAGGTCAATCTGAAATATCCAAATTAATACAGCTTGCATTTGTTAAACAAATCAAATGCATTGGGCTAAAATCTAACCTCAAAAATATCATAAAACAGTGTGTCAGACGTCAGACCGCTTATTCACAACTGTTTCATGTAATAACTCTCTGTGAGGGAGCTTTTAGAGGCATTAAACTCAATTCAGATGTCTGGTTCCTATCACCAGTGTTCAAAATACCCCACTGGTATTCAGGGGGTCCCATGTTGGCAGGACACTCCATTGTTGGCTGACTGCTCACTCACCACAGCAGTGCTGATGTTTCTTCTGGAAAAGCTCTTTTCTAGTTTGCTAATGCGCTCTTCCTCTTATTAACTGAGATCTCACACAGCTCCTCTTCTGTCTTCAGTTTGAGAAATGAATGAGAGTTCCCTCTTTACACCAGTCTCTTGGGAAAACTGGGCAAGTTTTCAGATTTACAGGTATGCTACAGCACATTGCAACGTTTTTCAGAGGAATCCCAGGCATAATTACTGTTGCTAGGCTGTGAAAGACTGACTGGGTGAACCAGTCTGCTACAGCGCCACCATGAGGCAGAGCAGTGCTGCAGCTCTAGTTGGTTAAGAATAACAAAGACAGAAGCTGATTGTGGATGAAGCAGATAAACAATGAGCTTCACTGAATCTGTATTTGAGTGTCTATTTTTTCCCTTATTGACAGCATAACGTCCTAATGAAGTTATTTTCAGGGACCCTCCAGAATTTTGGTTTTGAGACATTCAGGGGGTCCAAGAGGTTATTCGGGAGCCCTGTATTTCACACCTTGCCCATCACCACTACTGTGAATAATTCTGACTCTTCAAGTATATCTAGAACAGAGCATTTCACACCAAACCACTCTGAATGACTTTTTTTTACCTCTTAACCATTTAGTTATGCAGAAAATTTGGAAAATCAATTTAATTCCACTTTAACTCATTATTCAAATTAGCACTGTATGACTGTGGACTTTGACATTGCTGGATGCAAAGAGGGAACAAAGCAATAACAGACCAATAAAAGACATAAATAAAGTTGCTGCGTAATCATCTGCGATGCCTATAATTATGAAAACAGGGAAACAACAAAGAGTTTTACTACTGTGACTCAGGGGTGTGACCAGTGTGACAGGTCTGACCGGTGCTTCACCCTAACTCAGCTCTTTTATGCACCACAAAGCTAGGAAATAAGGAAATGCTGCCAAGCCATAAACAGCAGTCTGAGCTCCTGGTGGTGACGTGGTCTTACTCTTTCGCCAACAGTGCTTGGATTAGATTTTCGCTTTTAATTACCTGAGGCTGGAATTTTACAATGTTATCTGATTCAGTTTTATCTTCTGAATTGGTTGTAATAAATAGGCATTAAAATTTCAGGGTTCAGTGCGGTTCAGAAGCCACAATCTGATCTGATAACGTCCAGAACGCCCCCCCCCCGAAGCGATGGCCTGTTTTGCAAGTGAACATTCACAGTGCATGTCCGCCTTCAAGAGCTATCGCCCACATGTGCTCCAAACATGCAGAACAGCTGGTTTAACGTCTAGATAAAGTCATGAGCCACGAGGGGAAAACAAACAAGTGTGATCAGATGGTGTTTATCACTGGGAGAAAGGCGTGTTTTCATGCCTTCAGGCTCCAGCGGGGCCAGCAGGTTTACATGTGTGATGTACTGTGATCAGGGATGTAAATCAGTAAGGCAAGTTTATTTATAGAGCACATCTCATGCAGAAGAGCAATTTAAAGTGCTTTGCGTAAATTTAACGCCTTAACAGGCCACACACTTTTATAACCTAAGAATAGCTTAACCAGCGAGCACTGAAGTCCCTGTAGTTACCGAATAAAAGGCCTTTATATGTAATAAGCCTGGGATGTTAGATCAAGTACGGTCATGATTTCAATGATTTTTAATAAATTAGCATATCGCTGTTGTCAGAAGAAAACCTTGTATCTCCAAAATGGTAACTTTACAGGAGAAGGCAAAAACCTACTTTACTTTTAATGTAAATTAATGGAACAGGACGTTTTTCCAAGTCATTTTGGGCCGTTTCTTTTGGTCCATTCATCATGAAATTGACTCACAATGTAAAGGGCAAGAGGTATTTTCAAATTATGACAATAACTGAAAAACTTCAAAAATGGAGATACAAGGTTTTGTTCCGACAGCAGTGATATATTTTGATATATTTGATGTATGGACTACTCTACCAAATAAGTTCAAACTGCAGTCCCAGAGTAAAAAAATACTTAAAGAACAATTAGGTATGAGCAGTTAGATCCCATTGTTTCAAAGAAAAAGTGTCCCAAAGTCTGAAAGAGTGAAAGAATGTGTGGAACATTAAGAATTGGCACAATTTTTATGTTATTTTTTTGTTTTTTAATGAAAATAATATGATTTGACAGCGTAAAACTGAGCTGCGTTTGCTAATCCTGTACTGGCTGCGTTTTTGAGTCCTGTTTAAAATAAGCTAAATTGTCACTACTGAAATATTTGTTAAGGCTTTGGAAGCGTTATGGTCGTTTTGGTGGTGACAAAATGGAAAGTTCAATCATTTATTTTAAACAAAAAATGAATCATAATTAAGGTACAGGGTCACTCGAATCAAAGGATTTTAGTCTTAATTCCAAGTTAGTCAAAAGTCCAAAATGTCCTTCAACTCTGACTTTGAACAAATGAAGTAGAATGATCTGTATATATATTTAACGTGTGTTTAGATCCTCCCCGTAAGCGCGTAGACTCTCCGATGCTGACCCGTCATGGCCGCTGCCGTCCAGAGAGAAAGAGTCTGGAGGTGCTGAGTGTGACGGACCAGGGTTCACCTACACCACCCCGCAGAGCGCTGGACACCTCTGCTCACAGCCAGAGGTACATTTAAATACTTCATTTAGTTTAGTGATTATAGAAAACATTTGTTTGGAGTCTTTATGCAATCCTAGTCTGTACTAACAATGGACACATCTTAAAGATGCTTGTAATAATGTCTTCTTCACGTATTCAGGCTGCTTTTACGAGCTGAGACTCTACAGCGCTTGGCTAATTGTTTGGCCTTTCTTTTCCCAAGTCCAGCTATCTGTAAACCACATACACAGGTTCTATGTTTGTGCCCAAAACTTCCAAAAATCAAAGCTATTACTTTGCACTTGTACCCTTATACTTTCAGAGCTTCAGGTAGATGTTAATATTTAAATGTTTAGTGTACGATGATCTATTTATGCATCAAAAGAGCACAGTTTCCACAGTTGTAACACTTTTTCATTAATCAAGTTTCATTAATCACGACAATATCAGGGATTAGTAATTTGTAATATTGTAATATTGTACGGTAGCATTTTGGTGTTATGATGAGGTGATGAAAATCAATCCATTTGAACAGTGCATTCATGCCACAGGATGACCAATCTGACCAAATGACTTAAGTGCTATAGAGCAAAGGTCATCAACTTGCAGACCACAATCCAGATTTAGACTCTGAATTGCATGATAAAGTTGGTTAACATGAAACATTTGCTGGATATTCGACTTTTTCTCCTCGATTTTGCATGAAATAAATATTCAAAAATGATCAAACCTACATTTTCTCACTCCTGAAAAACAGACAACCAACTGCAATCACAGACACTTCAGTGATTAAAGGGGAACTCCACTGATTTTTCAAATTTACTGCATAATTAAACGGTTCATCAGAGTCATTCAGAGTGATTTGGTGTGAAATGCTCTGTTCTAGAGAAACTTGCTGAATCATAATTGTTCACAGTGGTGATAGGAACCAGACGTCTGAAGAGTTTAATGCTTCTAAAAGCGCCTTCGCAGACAGTTATTACATGAAATGGTTATGAATACAATGCGTGATGACTAAGACAGCAGTTTTATGATGACCAAAATGTTATCACAAAACTGCTGTTTTAGTCATCACATCGCATTGTATTCATAACCATTTCATGTAATAAATACATACATACATAAAGTGTTTTCTTAGTCAAAATACTCCCCAAAGAAAACTTATTTTTTCAGCTTTATTACTTTTTTACCATCATCAACATACAAAACTCTGAAGGCACGTAAAGGTTCAGTGGTTGTTTTGAATGGTAAATAAATGGCTGTATTTGTGTTGTAGACATTGTGACCCCTGGTTCCCAACACCACTGTAAAGAGATCAGAGTCTCTACAATGAACCAATTCACAACAAATACTGTGAACGACCTTGTTTACATCTCAACCACTGAATTATGCATTAAAAAATTAGGTGGAATTCCCCTTTAAGGGACTGTCTAAGTAAAATAATACATATGTTGCTTGAACGCTTCTCAACTAATCTGATTTTGCCTAGATCTGAACTAACTGTTGTATGTAAGTCATTTAAGTCACTTCTGATGCTGAATAGGCAACACACTGTGAAATCCATGTGAAGTGATGTCCAGGCCTGATGTGCCAGTTAGCTTGTGTACTGCAAGGTCATTATACAGAATATGCAGCAGTTTACCTCATCTCTCACTTTGTTATATAACATGTCATATACCACTAACACTGAAACACATGGGTCATTGAGAAGATCCTGTCTGACTGTGCTGTTTCTCTGTGTTTTGACAGATCTCGTTCAGTCAGTGGAGCTTCGACAGGTCTCTCCTCCAGCCCCCTCAGTAGCCCCAGAGTAAGTAACTGTCCTCCGCAGAGGAGTCATCCACACCCAGTCTGTCATTTAGCTTCACTGAAATGCCTTTGATTTAGATCTTTACACCGATTACCTTCATTTTTGCCCTTTTCCACTGTTTTTGTTGGGTCTATATACAATACAAAGGGCAGTAAAGCTGCATTGGGTGTAGTTGTTGTGTTTTATTAGTCTCCATCTACCTCACACTGTCCCATTTGGAGTCATGACTCATGCCACAGACCTGCTGAGATACAACATTTTCTGTCTTGAATCTAACCCTCTTTATAGTGCAGCACAGTTTATTTATTAACTCACAGCTAACACAATAACAGTTTAAAGGGATGGTTCGGAGAACAATAGGATTTACACAGTTTTACCCCTCATGCCGAAAGTAGTCTTTTAGCTGGGACCTGTCCGGGGTCGGAAGTTTGCTTCTTTAGTTTTGTACTGGAGCTACGAGTCTAATGTTGCTAACAAGTAACGAAAGCTTATAACCAACAGTTAGCATCCTACAAACTGCGTGTCCGAATGTACAGCATGTTATTATAAAAATGGAAAAGTATGTTGGCTGACTGTAGCAGCAAACATGTTGAAAACAGTCATACAGTATCAGAAACCACATAAGCAAGTCTATTTGGGGTGAATTAAATAATAGTTCCATCAATTTTTCAAAATTTCTGCATAATTTAGTGGTTGGGATGTAAACAAAGTAACTCTGTTTTGATGTGAAATGATTAATTGTAGAAAAACTTGTCGACAGGAATTTCTCTTCACAGTGGTGGTGATAGACTGGGGTCCCAATGTCTACACAGATATAGCTATTTTATTTAAAATGAACCAAATGATAATTGAAAAATTCACACGTCTTTTGACCTTTTATGTATAATTTTAATGATGGTAAAATAGTGGCAAATCTAAAGTAATACGGAATATGTTGCCTCACAAAGCCCTGCATGTATTCCTCCACTACATTTTTTTTAAAATTGTGTTTCCAGCCAAAAAGTTAGGTTAGAACTATCGTAAATCAAAGTCTGAGGCATCAGACAACGTATTTATACACTGAGTGCATTTACATGCACTCAATAATCCGATCAATCCAATCATAATCTGATTTCTGCAGTTATCTGATTATTCAAACGGTCATGTAATCAGCACACTCCAATTTTTTAGATCAGAGTACGGTCTAGAAATACGATTCAGAAATCTGATAAAGAGAGCTGGAATTTAGCTCAGTAGTCAGATTTCTCAGTACATGTAAACTCTTACTCTGATTTCTTTCAGATTTCTCACATTTACGAAACACTTTTAGAGCGACACTGAAATCAAGTACATGCTTGACGAAATGTAGGATTCAAATATTCTTCATCTTCTAGATGATGTATGTTAATATTTTCAGCTAAAGTGACGCAGTGTTTTTGAAAAAGCCGCCGCGGCAAGAAGTTTGAGTTTTACTTTAGGTCACGTCTTCTTCTGTGAGTTTATTGGCTGGTCGCAAAGCAGAAATCTGATTATTGTCTGACTCGTAAACCCAGAGTTCCCCCATTATCTAATTACTTAAGTGCATGTAAAGGCACTGATCAGATTACTGACAAAATCTGATTTTCTGCAGTTATCGGATTATTAAGTGCATGTAAACTCAATGTTAGAAATAAAGGTTCTGTGTAGGTACATTTTTCACTCATAAAAACAAACAATGTAAATGTTACCTCAAAGGTACAACAGTGGTTTTAAGGTCCAATTATGAACCTTAAATAAGTTTTTCCAGGTGAAAAGTTCGTATTTGTACCTTTTCATAATCAAATGTTTTAAAACAGAACAGTAAAATAAAAGCCTGGAGTCGAGACGGGGTGTGTGGAGTCAGTACAGCTTAGAAAATATAATTTCAGTGGATTATGGTACAATTACGCCCTTGAGGGTACCACCCCAGTGACAAGAGGGGTCCTGCCCCAATGACAGTTTATTACCTTTATTTTTGAGAGTCTAACCAAAAAGCAAAACTAAAGAAGCAGACTTTGTCTTGGCTGCAGCACTAATTTTTTGGAGAGGGGAAAGGGGTGCAAGTAAATTTTTTTTTTGCCAAACCATTGCTTTAACAACGTCCCCCTAGAGGTCAGAGACGTATCTGTTCTTGGTGTGGTCGAAACGTGTTCCATTTTTCCTGACGTCAGTTCCATGCTCAGTTTAACTCTGTTCTTGCTAATCACGAACCATAGCTTTTCATTAACTCTCATCACCATTGCTTTCTCTTTCCATCTCTCCATCCTTCTTCTGTCCTCCTCCATCTCTCTGTCCTTTCTCTCCCGCCTCGTCAGAGTCCCGTTTTCACGTTCAGCCAATCAGAGGTCACTTCCAACACCCAGTCCAAAGACCCCAAACCGGGAAGCGCCACCACCACACCCCGGGCGGCCCCTCGGGTGCCCGACCAAAAAACCCAGACGCTGCCATCCAAGGCGGCGTCCGATCGGCCCCACCTGCAGTCCATGAAGTCCCTCCCCCTGCAGACGCCCCCCTCCCCCTCCCCGTCCCCCTCTCCGCTCCTGTCCCCCATCCCTCGCTTCTTCTTCTTCCCCGCTCCCTCCTCCGTCCTCAAGTCCGTCACTAAGACCGTCTATCCTAACTCTGCCCATGTGTCGCAGGTCACCCCGCAGGGCTCCCCGCTCCCCACCCCCCTCGGGACCCCCGTGCACCACCCCCAGCACCCCTCTCCCACCCCGCCCTCTTCCTCCTCCTCCTCCTCCTCCTCCCGAGCCGAAGGGGGCGGCGGCGGAGTGGGCGGCGGCTCCCTATCCCTGACCCCGCCCTCCAGCCCAGGCGGAGGGGGCGGGGGAATGGCCGCCAGCAGCTCCGCCCACTGGAGGACACGCCTCAACTCGTTCAAGAATAACCTGCTGGGTTCGCCTCGCTTCCACCGCCGCAAGCTGCAGGGTGAGATACGGTGTTATTTAAACATCACCATTTAACGCCTCCAACTTTCTCACTCATAAATCTATAACTTACATACTAGATTCATAGTAGTTACTGAATAATACGTCTTAAAGGGCCCATATCATAGAAAAACACATTTTTGGAAATAGAAGGGTTTGATTAAAGGGTGTAGTATGTAAACACTAAACGTACCATTCACACCTCATTCCATACAGTCCACAACTAGAAGTTAAACAGCAAAAACAGCCTGATTTGAATTCAGTGTTGTAGCGATGTCACAAAAAACAATGCACTTGACTGTTGACAGCAGTGTAGTCCCACCTACTCAGGCTGAAATTATAAGCAGTATTTCAGCCTGAATGTGTGAGTGGGTATATATGTGTGTCTGTCTGCCCTGCGATGGACTGGCGACCTGTCCAGGGTGTTTCCTGCCTTCCGCCCATATATATATATATATATAAGATAATATGAATATAAGTACATTCATAAAGTATGTATATTGCAGTAAGTTAAAATGCATATGTGCACTGACTACAGTAAAGTGGAAAAGGTTCTTATGCAGAAAGATTACGGCATGGTATGTACAGTGGTTATGTGCATTACAGTGTGTGTAATAAAGTGCATATACAGCAGTTTAAAACAGAGGGAGATTAGAAGGGTCCTTGTTTTGGAGAATGGTGGGCTGGGGAAAGTAGCTGTGGAGGTGGCAGTTGGTCCAAGTCTTTAAGGCTCTCACTCTTGATGAAAGTGTTTTTTAGATTGATGGAAAATGTGTTGTAGATGGTTCTATATATAGAACATTTTTGAAAAGGGTTCTATATAGCAGCAAAAAGGGTTATTCTATTGCTACAGTGTCAAGCCTGTAATAATAGCAGAACCCTTTTTGGTTCTATATAGAACCATTTAATCATGAAAAAAATTGAAATACATTTTTACTAGTCACACACACACACACACACACACACACACACGGCCATGTAGGAGGAGAACAGAGTGAAGGACACAGCACCTCCACACTTTTACTCCCTGTGGGTTCACCCAACACCACATGTGTAATATAAATGTGTGGGGGGTGAACAGAGTGAAGACACTGAAAATGGGTTATTTAATATGTTCTTCACAGAAAATGAGCAAAGGCCAAGAAATCTGAGGTTGAAATAATAATAAATCGCTATAAATAGATAAATAGATAAATATAATCAATAAATAGATCCCACAGACCTGAACACCACACAAGGGTTCAATTTTAATTGTAAAAGTATAATTTCTACTTAAAAGTTTAAGATTTTTTATACATCATAGTATGAAAAGCATTATCTGATAAAGAATCTTTCATTTCTTAAGTTTTTTTTTTTACCAAACCATTTTACTATTATTTGCCAGAACTTTCGGCCAAACAGAGCTTCACTTGCCGTGAGTCTTTAGTGTGTATGACCTCATTCACAGGTGGATTTTGACTGGCTCTTGACTGGGACACCAGTGAAAATACCGCACTGATGTGCTAATTGCTGCTACAGTGACTTTATGAATAGCTCTTATTTAGCGCACATTTAGTGTGACGTAGCGAGTTTTGTGAGTCTGGCTCACTGAGTTACGACTGACAATTATAACGTTACTGCCAACCTGCAGTGGCAAAGGTCTCACTATCCCCTACACCAACTGAATTGGTCACAGAAATCTGGCTTCTGCGCTCAAAGTACTGCTCTAAATGTTAGACAGGGAGTCATACAGCTAATGACTGAATATAAAAGGCTTTCTATTTCATATATATAAAGCGCTGTTTGGGTGTAGAAGCCATTATTTTATGACTACATCAGGCATTAAATAGAAAGCCATTTGAGACTGAGCCTATATTCTAGTAACCTTTAAAAGCATTAGCTGATTTCTTTGGGTCACTTAGATCCTTATATTCATAGGAATGCAGGTAATTCTCAAAGAAAAGCTTATAGCCCTTCAAGCTCGCTGCTCTCACATGAAAACTGGTCTACTAAACGAATGGTGTCTTTATCATGAAATAAAGATAAATACATTAATAATAAGTCCTCTACATTCTCATTTAGAACCAATGTCACTACTGAAATGTTTTCCCTACTGTGACAACTATCACTGCATTAAATCTGTAAGGACCTGTTCTATAGTGGCTGGCAACGTAGGTCACGTTAACTGAAGTAGCAGCGCTGATTAGCTGGTTTTGTCTGTTTGTCACTTTTATGTCTCTGTATTTTGTCTTTATCTAACTAACCTGCTTAAATCTGTCTGTAAAGGACTCTTTAAAGTATATATCAGATTTCTGTTCTGCTGATGTAGACTGGTTTGCCTCTATCATGCATGCAAAATAAACTGTCCTGAGGTTTTCTAAGCTCTAAGCAGAAATGCTTCACATCTTTTTGTTATTTTTAGTTCCTACGTCTGAAGACATGTCCAGGCTAACTCCGGAGTCAAGCCCAGAGTGAGTAACAGGCGTGATGGGATGGTTGTGTGGTTAATCCTATTGGGATGTGTATCAGTGTCAGCGTGATAAAACTCTGTGTTGTGTTTCCGGCAGGCTGGCTAAGAAGTCCTGGTTTGGGAACTTCATCAGTCTGGAGAAGGAGGAGCAGATTTTTGTGGTGATCAGAGACAAACCACTCAGCTCCATCAAAGCCGACATTGTTCACGCCTTTCTATCAGTTAGTAACCCGTCCTCTCTTCTCTTCTCTTCTCTTCTCTTCTCTTCTCTTCTCTTCTCTTCTGTTCTCTTCTCTTCTCTTTAGTTCTCTTCTCTTCTCTTCAGTTCTCTTCTCTTTAGTTCTCTTCTCTCTCTTCAGTTCTCTTCTCTTCTCTTTAGTTCTCTTCTCTTCTCTTCTCTTTAGTTCTCTTCTCTTCTCTTCTCTTCTCTTTAGTTCCCTTCTCTTCTCTTCTCTTTAGTTCTCTTCTCTTCTCTTCTCTTCAGTTCTCCTCTCTCTTCTCTTCAGTCCTCTCTTCTCTCTTCTCTTCTCTTCTCTTCTCCTCTCTCTTCTCTTCAGTTCTCTTTTCTCTCCTCTCTTTTCTTCTCTTCAGTTCTCCTCTCTCTTCTCTTCAGTTCTCTTCTCTTCTCTTCTCTTCTCTTCTCTTTAGTTCTCTTCTCTTCTCTTCAGTTCTCTTCTCTTCTCTTCTCTTTTCTTCTCTTCTCTTCTCTTTAGTTCTCTTCTCTTCTCTTCTCTTTAGTTCTCTTCTCTTCTCTTTAGTTCTCTTCTCTTTTCTTCTCTTCTCTTCTCTTCTCTTTAGTTCTCCTCTCTCTTTTCTCTCTTCTCTTCAGTTCTCTTTTCTCTCCTCTCTTCTCTTCTCTTCAGTTCTCCTCTCTCTCTTCTCTTCAGTTCTCTTTTCTCTCCTCTCTTCTCTTCTCTTCAGTTCTCCTCTCTCTTCTCTTCAGTTCTCTTTTCTCTCCTCTCTTCTCTTCAGTTCTCTTTTCTCTCCTCTCTTCTCTTCTCTTCAGTTCTCTTTTCTCTCCTCTCTTCTCTTCTCTTCAGTTCTCCTCTCTCTTCTCTTCAGTTCTCTTTTCTCTCCTCTCTCTCCTCTCTTCAGTTCTCTTTTCTCTCCTCTCTTCTCTTCTCTTCAGTTCTCCTCTCTCTTCTCTTCAGTTCTCTTTTCTCTCCTCTCTTCTCTTCAGTTCTCTTTTCTCTCCTCTCTTCTCTTCTCTTCAGTTCTCCTCTCTTCTCTTCAGTTCTCTTTTCTCTCCTCTCTTCTCTTCTCTTCAGTTCTCCTCTCTCTTCTCTTCAGTTCTCTTTTCTCTCCTCTCTTCTCTTCTCTTCAGTTCTCCTCTCTTCTCTTCAGTTCTCTTTTCTCTCCTCTCTTCTCTTCTCTTCAGTTCTCTTTTCTCTCTTCTCTTCTCTTCTCTTCTCTCTTCTCTTCAGTTCTCTTTTCTCTCTTCTCTTCTCTTCTCTTCTCTTCTCTTCTCTTCTCTTCAGTTCTCTTTTCTCTTCTCTTCTCTTCTTTTCTCTTCTCTTCTCTTCAGTTCTCCTTTCTCTTCTCTTCAGTTCTCTTTTCTCTCCTCTCTTCTCTTCAGTTCTTTTTTCTCTCTTCTCTTCTCTTCTCTTCTCTTTTTTCTCTTCTCTTCTCTTCAGTTCTCCTCTCTCTTCTCTTCTCTTCTCTTCTCTTCTCTCTTTTCAGTTCTCTTTTCTCTCTTCTCTTCTTTTCTTTTCTCTTCAGTTCTTCTTCCTCTTCAGTTCTCTTCTCTTCCTACTCTTCACTTCTACTTTCTGTTATTCTCTTCTACTTTTTTCTTCTGTATAGTTATCATCTCTTTTCTTGTCTTCTATTTTCTTCTCTTATTTTTTCTTCTAATCCTCTGTTCACTTCTGCTGTTTTTCATCTCTTTTTCTTTTGTTTTCTATTCTTCTCACTGCTTCTCTTCAGTTTTACTTTCTCTCTTCTACTTTTCTATCTTTTCTTTTTTCTGTCTTCTCCTCAGTGTCTTCTATAATCCCTTTTAAGACTGTTCTCTTGTTTTCTTTTCTTTCCAGTTCTATTTTATTCTCTTCTACTTCATTCTGTCCATTTTAGTTATCATCTATTTTCTTCTCTTCTTTTGTCTTCTTTTTCTTCTCTTCATGTTTCTTTTTTCTTTCCACCTTCTTTTCAGTTCTGTTCTATTCACTTTTGCTGTTTTCTGCTTCTCTTCTCTTCTCTTCTCTTCTCTTCTCTTCTCTTCTCTTCTCTTCTCTTCTCTTCTCTCTTGTTGCTCACAGCTGGAACAGAAATCCTCTCTGAAAGTCTTTTTCTCTTCTACAGATTCCCTCCCTGAGCCACAGTGTAGTCTCTCAGACCAGTTTCCGGGCAGAGTATAAATCTTCCGGAGGTTCGTCCGTCTTCCAGAAACCTGTGAAATTCCAGGTGGACATCGCCTTTTCAGAGGGGGAGAGGGAACGAGAGAGAGAGAGGGAAAGGGAGAGAGAGGGAAAGAAGGAAACTGGCATTTACAGCGTCACCTTCACCCTCATATCAGGTCCGAAAATACTAAGAACCTTTACTAAGAGTTATTAGAGTTAAACACACATTGGTGACATAATTCTGTATCTGTACACTAAGGTGTTAACTATATGCACACAGAGTTCTATTTATGTCCTGTATGTGTGTTTGGTGCATGTGTTTGTATCTCAGGTCCTAGTCGCAGGTTTAAGAGAGTGGTGGAGACCATACAGGCCCAGCTGCTCAGCACTCATGACCAGCCCTCTGTCCAGGCACTAGCAGGTGGGAGCTTTTCCTACTGCACTGAGATTGCTAAAAGCTAGCTAATGTATTCAGCCCCATGGAGTTTAAAGGGGATCTGTTATGCTTTTCTGGTTTTTAATTTTCATTTAGGGTTTGCTATGAGCTATTTGCGCATGTAAATGCTCTGCAAAGTTACAAAGCTCAAAGTACACGCCAGAGGGACAAACTCTCTCCCACAGAAACCACTTTTCTCAGCTGCCCGAAACGCTTCACTGGAATTCCAGTCCTTTTCTCTATTACAAAGTGATGTTAACATGATCCTTACTGGCCGCCTACCGGCAAGCTTGGCACACCCTCATACGATGCACAGCAGCTACTGGAGGCGGGAAGAGTTTGTTCGGCTTTGTAGCCGTGTCAAGAACACGCTGACCTGACTTTCAGGATCGGACTCTGGCTCAAACTGGTTCTTTGGTTCTTTTCAGTGGCTCTTTGGTTAGAAGGAAAGATGCCCAGTCATGCTCGAGAGCCATTCTTTATATTGTTGTGCCCAAATTTCACTGCCTGCCCATAATCCACTCCACTCTTTACTGAACAGTGAGAACCAGCCAGTCATAGGGATATAGGGGGTTGCTTTAGGATATTTAAAGGCAGCATGAGCAGGATTTGTCAGTTGCTGTTTAAACACACGACTCAGAGTTGACAAAGAGAGAGAGAGAGAGAGCAGTGGTGGTTGAGCAAGCTAGAAAGTGAATGAAGAGGGGAAGCAACGTTAGCGAGAACAAGGCAGTGAAGCAGAGGTAGTGGTAGTGTGATGGTCTTTGGGGCTGCTTTGCTTCTGCAGCACCAGGGATGACTTGCCATAATTGATGAAACCGTAAATTCTGCTCTGTATCAGAACATCCTGAAGGAGAATGTCCGCCCATCAGTTTGTGACCTAAAGCTCAAGTGCAGCTGGTTTATGCAGCAGGACAACGATCCGAAGCACACAAGCAAGTCCATCTCTGAACGGCTCAAAAGAAACAAAATTAAGGTTTTGGAGTGGCCGAGTCAGAGTCCTGACTTTAGAGATGCTGGGGCAAGACCTTAAACGGGCAGTTCTCCCTTAAAAACCCTCAGATGTAGCAGACTTAAAACAATTCTGCAAAGAAAAGTGGGCCAGAAATCCTCCACAGTGATGTAAAAGACATATCGCAAGTTATCGCAAACGTTTGATTGCAGTTGTTACTGCCAAGGCTGGCACAACCAGTTGTTACGTTTAAGGGGGTAATTATTTTTTCACATGGGTGAAATAGCTTTTGAATAAATCCTCATCCTCAGTAAATGAAATGAACATTCAGAAGCTGCGTTTTGTGTTTACTCGTGTTGTCTTTATCTTTTATTAAAATTAGTTGGTTAGTGAAAAATTAGCAAAAATAGAAGAAATCGTGTGGGGGCAAATAATTTTACACAGCACTCTATAAATAGTAGTTTTTATAAATATGTTTGTATAATTATTTTCTTATTATTAATAATAAATATAATCACTCAATTTCATACTGGCTAGGGCATCAGAGAAGTATATAATGTAATACTACCATTATAATATCACACTACTAATATAATAATACAATTCTCTTTCACAGATGAGAAGAATGGTCTTTCCTCCCGTCCCCCCAGCACGCCCACCCGGCAGAACTCCCGCCGCTCAGAAGGGGGTGGGGATCGCGGCGAGAGGGCGGAGCGTGGAGAAGCAGCCAGTATGGCGGGCAGTGGAGGTGTCCTTCAGCGCAGGGGGTCCGGCAAGGACAAAACCCGCCTCCTCTCCTCCAATGGAACCCAGTCTCAGCCCTGAAAGAACTCTCCGGAAACAGAGCAGAGCCTACAGAGTGGGCTGGGACCCGCTCCTTTAACCTCAGACCCTGAAAAATCCCCTCTTTACCCACAATCCCTCAATCACAGACACACTCCGCTCACACACGCTCATCGCTACCAGAATAACCTGTAGCCCAAATACAGCCGAGAGAGGAACCGCAAAGAAATGGATGATCCTGCTCACAGAGATGCACCCGGATACATGAAAAACACTCAAACAGCTGGAATGTGATGTCACTCGCGCCTCAAAAGTACAGCGGATCTCAAATCTGAATAAAACATACAGACTTTAAAGCATCTCAATGTAAACTTCAGTTAGATATCAAGCATCTCACAGCTGGATGACTGAAAGTGATCTAGAGCCAATAGTAAGCTATAACCACCCACAAACTAGTTAACAATCAGCAGAGGAAAAAATACAGGAGGTGGGACAGAAATGATTGTGTCTTTTTTATCATCATCATCATCAATGTCATCATCACTATCATCATCACCATCATCACCATGAGAAGTGTCACTGCGGTGGACTGTAATTTGAAGATGATTTGGAAGCTAAATCACCAGAATCATGAAAAACAAGAAGATTGACAAAAGATTGAAAGGAGTAGAAAGAGGTTGATCAAGACGTGGAACATCAGTGGTGAATGGGCATCCAGAATTTTGACCCCAAAGCGGCAGCTTGAATCAAATAACGGACTAATTAACGGATTATTGACCCAGTGTTTGGTCCTGTGTGATGAATCCATATCAGCACAAGGAAAATATCAGTGATAAACCCGCCGTAGTAAAGCAATGCCTTCTTGTAGAGAAATGATTACTTGTTGTCACGTGTTGTGGATTTACTGAAGACATTACTCCTTTAAACACATTCAGTAGATCCACCACTGTATCAGGCATCATATCTGGCAGTATAAGACACGGAAGGTAGAGAGTTTCCAGTTAAATCTACCAACGTGAGAGCGTCTCAATCCCTAATGTAGCCACCAAGCGCTGGACATACTTTCATGAGGTGGTGTTTAAAGCTCCTTAGACACCTTCGGAACGACGACAAAAACTGAGAAGAACAAAAAGTCCAAATCTGGCGAAGAAGAGAAGGACAAGACAAGCAACTTCACTTCTTCTCCGTATGATGACAACAAAGGTCAAAAAGCCCTTTTTGGTGACGTGTTTGCCGTCAAACAAAACATACACAAGCAAGTGAATGTCAAAAAAGCTATTTTAAAAGTATTTATTTGATTTAAAGCTATGTTTATTTGAGTAAATATATTTTTTTAAGTTATTTATTTATTTATGTATTGTTTATTTATTTATTTATATTATTTATTTGGGTGTTGCGGAGATTGGTCAGCTCAGAATGGCAGGCACATCAGCTGTGGACCAACAAAGCCACCAGAATGAAAAACGAGATGGAGAAATTTGTCACCTTTGTTTCGTTTTCCCAAATATATTAAAACGATGCTGCAAAAAAAGTCCCTAAAATCTGCCATTTCAGTTTGGTTTTATATGAGTTTTCTCATTTCATTTTCATTTCACATTCATTTCTTTTACATAAGATAGAAAAACAACAAAGAAAAAGAAACAACAACAACAAAAGAACTTTGAACACCTTGGAGGTTCCTGCTGGGAAAAAAAAAGATTACAAAGATAATCCAAGAAATTAAAAACGGTTTCAAAACTGAAAAGACCCTCAGAGAAGTAGAGGAGAACAGGATGGAGGGAAGGAGAAGGAGGGAGGCGTTCCATCTCTCTGTTTTCTCCCTCTGTCTTTCAGAATGTTACCCACATAAGCCCAAAGCTTCGGACTCGTGCGTATGTGAGGCTAGTCTCATGTACCGAACGCGAGCAGTATTCACAAACACATATACACAAACACTCACAAACGAGACTGTCTCATTGGACGGCCGCTGTCGGTGAGAACGCTCTTCTTCTTCACACAGATAAAATGAGATGAAATGAATGATAACTGGACTTTAAAAACTGGAATGCACTGTCCTAAGAAAAAAAAAAGAGAATTGTATCCGAAACATCCGGTCCCTGCCCTGCCCCCTCCCATGCGAACCGGTGAAGTGCACAGCTGAGTGCAGATTGAGGATCTGTGGGACGTATTTTGTTTTTGAGTTCATTAGGGTTGAGATTAGGTTTGGAAAGGAAACCTGATCCTAAATCTTCGCTTAAAGGAATCAGCTTTTACTCCCCACAATCTAATCACAGTCACGATGCTCCGCCCCGTCTCTCTTGCACACTGAAACTCTCTTTAAACCCTCCCAATGCGTACAAGGAAAGCAATGAACATGATAAGGAAAGCAAGGTTTTGTCCTGGTTCCACCTTTGCCCCCCAGTCCTTCATGCCACCCACCACTCACCTTCATTCTTGGTACATTTTTAAAAAATGCTTCTGTTAAATGAACACTGGCAGTGTTCACTGGAGAGCAGACCTCTGTTTCAGTACTGTTTTTAATGTGCCCTCATCAACTTGCCCTCAGCACTTCACATTTAGGGAACCCCGACACCATCTTTAGGGCCATACCGTTGCTGAATTAGGGTGGCGAGGGATCAAGTCAACATTAATGTAGACTTCAGTTGTGAAACTCGCTGAGAAATCACTGCAATCTAACGTAAATTTATCAAACCTGGAAAACTGGCACACATAATTATGAGGAGTATGAGGAGTATACTAAGGCCTCATCCATACGTATCTGCATATTTTTAAAAATTGGCCATGTTAGCGGTGTTTTTGCATATCTCTCCAACCACAAGAGAAGGCAAAAACGGCTCAAAAACACTCAAATTAGCATGTCAGCTGAGGAGCGAGTGATAATACCTCATAAAATTTTGATATCATACACCTCAAGAAGAACATTAGCGCACTGCGCAAAATGTAGAGCGCGCTGCAAAGCTAAAGCAGAGATTTTCTAACAAAATGATGGCACCACATTATATACAAATACTATGGACTTTGGCCTGCAGGCCATCGGCTGACCTGCAGGCCAACCTTTGCAATTCGATACAGTCAAACAGTTTCAATGTCAGATTTCTGACAGAAAATAAAAGCAGAAGGAAACCTGTCGTTTGCCGTGGGTTCGTTTATGTTCCCATAGCTAAACGTCCACACAGTCCTAAATAGACAGAGAAGCTGAGTTTTTCCAGCTTTTCCCTCCATTTTGAATCTGAATGGGATAGCTCATATCTCTTAGCATAGACCTCTGAAGTCGTGTTGTCATTCTGTACTCAGTGCCATGCCCATATTAAAAACTCCAGGTCTAACTGGTTCTCTTTCTGTATAAAAAAAGAGTGCCTGACGCAACCGGTGGTAACCTGCTATGTTCCAAAGCCATTACATTTTTCTGTACAGACATTTTTCCTCAGAATGTCACTGGATCGTCTAAATTATGAGGTCATTAAGGAGCCAAAATACGACTGCAACATGTAGGTTAACACTGCAACCTCAACAAAATACGGCACACAAACCATCAGTCTTTGTCAAATGTGGTGGTTAAGCTGCTTTGGCAGTCATAGAGTACAGTTTGAGCAGCTGGTGCTCTAACAGTAGTGGACTCACCTCCAGGCAACATCATTTTAGTACACAGGAGTGTTAGCTTGCTTTAGCATGTATGTAGCGTCATCATATTTTAACTGCTAAACAATGGAATTCAGAGGATCCAGTGACACTTGGGGGAAAATGTACAGAAGACAAAACATATCGGAACCTTGTTTACCACAGGGCTTTCAGTTCATTTTAGAGAAAAAACCAGCTTAGACTCCCTAAGTTCCTAATATGGGCATGATTCTAATGACAGAATACCACAAGACTTCAGGTTTTTATAGCATCCACATTCCAGAAATTCCTATCTTTAAAAAAAGAGCTAATTGCCTTGTTGGTAAGTGCCGTAAGCTAAAAGTTGTGCGTGCGGAATAGCTGGAACAACCTGAAACTAGCATTTTTTGTGTGTTATTTGAGCCAAACACAACAAACAACTACTGATTTTTGTCTGATTTTAGTAGTGATTTCAGACTTCTTTTTGTAACTTTAGCCTGGCTGTCATTTTTAGGTTTATCAGTCTCTCGCCATTCGGGAAGAGGAGCCTGGTCTTGTATGACTGGAAAAAGCTCTGTAGGGACGGTGCTAAGTTTACCACCGATAGACAGAATTTTTATAAAAGGACTTTGGTGTAAACCAGAACAAAAATACTTCAAAATACTGCAGTATTTCAGTTTTAATGTTTCAACTGGGCTTTCTCTAGCAAACCACTCCATCTGTTATGAATGGCTGCTGAACTTTGTTCATTTTTTACTCTGCTAGCTTAGCAAGCTAAGGGCTACACAGCTAGCAACAACAAAAATGAAATTTTAAAATAGAGTACATTTCTCATTCTAGACTTGATTAACCCAGAGAAACCAATTATTAGATTATTATTATTACCTTTTAACAACAAATACGAAGTTAGCTTAACTGGCTAATCACTGAGGGTAGCCTAGCTGAGTGTAAGTGCGTTTCTATTTTTTTCACCTTAACTTGCAACTGAGCACCGTGAGGTAAAGTTGATTACTGTAATACAAACACTATTGAAACAGAGGGCTGCACAACGTTGTAGAGGTTAGTTTATGACCACCATAAGAGTAATTTACACATGTATAGCTCCCGCCTCGTGTTTGGTAATGATAAATCAGGACAATAGCAATACTGATGCATCATTACAGCAGCAAATAATGAAAAAGAAAAAGTCAGAAAAGAGAAAAACTATTCTGAACAGCACAATGATAAAGTCATGCCAGGCACAGTGGAATCAATATGCCTGCACAGCAAACAATCTTCAAATGTTTGCTGTATAGACACATTGAGGATTGATAATGGAGGAAAACAAATGAATAAATGAAGAAATGAATCCAGCCTGGACTTTAAATACACTCTAAATGCCTTAATCACACACGTATGAAGTGGTTGGCACATGCACTCCCAGCCTTTCCCATGCAGTCACAGGTCAACTTGAACTAATGCACAACTATCCACACAAAGGTGAAGGGCGTGCCAGAGAAAACCTTGAGGTCATTCTGTGTGTATATATAGGCGGGAGCCCTCAGAGGGTTAGACTGGGGGGGGAGGGAAACGACACAGGCAGTGTGGACACCAGCTGTGTGTGAATGTGAAACTCAGTTGACCCGTCCCTGCCCCGTCCACAAATGCATTTTCAGAGCAACTGTTGTGCGGTTGGGCAAGGTTGTCGTCATCATTGTTCGTTGTTCCAACCTGCCTGGTTTCACAGTTATTATGTAACTGTCTTATCGTTATAATTTTCCACAGTTGCTAGTTTTCACAATCATATGTTTACATTGCAGTAATTTGAATTGGGTACGTTTTCGTCCGTTAGGTTGAGGCAAATGCACTTAAATGAAACACATTTATTGGGACCTTTCATGAGTCTTACGAACACAATAAATGTTGTAACTTCTCACTGGTGCTGTAACACCTTTAGAGGGCAGCAGTGAGTAGTGTTCGCCAAGAGGAATGATTTGTATCAGGGAGGATCTCTAAGCTAGCTAAGTATCTCCATGATAGGTAGGTGTAGATGAAACGTATATTTGGTTAGTATTTCTTTGGCCACCTGCTGTTACTCGGTGATGTCATCAAAAAGTGAGGGGCAAAAGTTGTTTCGTTTTGATTACGGTAAAACAAGACTTGTCTTTTATATGGGGTGATAGGATGAATTGTGCTTAATATGACAAGCTAAAACGTTGGCTGATCTTAAGTAATTAAAAAGATTTTAGTCATCAATTAAAAACATTTTTAGTCAT